AGATAAGCCTACTATTGTAGATGCACTTCACATTTTTAAGCATCCACACAGATCTGCTCGGCCTGCTCACATAGTTGTAATCCTTCGGGGGCTTCCAGGTGTTCTTTTATGTCTCCTACTGCAGCATTATTTTTTTAAATATTGTTCTCCATACCTGTTAAAGCACTTGACTACTTGTGTCTGTGAGTGGCCAGCAGAGTTTACCTTTAGTGTTGTTGTGGTTCAACTTTTGGAGATTGTCACTTTAAATGATATCTAAACATCACGCTCTTTAAATTTTTAGTAGATTCTGGCAATTTTACCATCACAACTTTATTTCTTTATTTCTTATTGCACAAGCAGGCATGCTTAGAAGTCAAGTCATGATTGGTAGTTAACATCATTGTTTACTTTTTCAGGGAGCGGAAAGAGCTATTTGGCAAAAATGTTGCGTGACCTTGAGGTTGAGAACGGTGGTAATGCCCCACGAATTCACTCGATAGATGATTACTTTATGACTGAAGTTGAAAAGGTCTTTTCTTCTTTATGACTATACAAGTTGGGGATCGTGTTAAAGCATGATTTCAACTTAATTTTTCATTATTATTTACACCCTCCGTCCCAAAAGACCTTGATGTTGCAGTTTACGATACTTGAGTACTTGACTAAGTTAATTTCAATTCAAGTTATTTCAACATTGGTGTAAAATTATAAAAATAAATCTATATGTTAAAAAACTATATCCAGAGTTCTACAAAATAAGATGTGGCTTGACTATGTTATATCAACAAAGGATTAATGAAAATATGTAAGAAAAGAAGATACAGGTTGACTTCGTGAACAATTTAAACATAATGTGTGTATAGTAAACCGGCTATGTTGTACGGAGCGGAGTGTTGAGCGTTTAGGAAAACCCATTTTTGTCAACTACATTTCGCAGAGATGCGAATGTTGCAGTAGAGGCGTGGGCAGACAAGGTTGGAGAGGACTCGGAACTAGGTTATACAATGACGGGTGGAAGTGGCACTTATGGAGGCTAAGCTGCCGGAAGCTATGTTAAAGTGGTTTGGACATGTGAAGCGGCGATGCGCTGACCAGTGCGGAGATGCAGGGTAGACATAAGAAGAATAGGAAGGAGGTGATTAGACATGACTTAAGAATTTTTGGCCTTTACCAAGGTTATGAGTATATGACCATAGATCGGAGCAACTGGAGATATAAGATTAAGGTAGTTGGATATTCGTGTTGGGCCTTGGTGATAGTTTTGTGCTTTTCGTTGTGTGCCTTCTTTGATTGGTACCTTTGTCTCTGTGTCTTTTTCATTATCTTTAAATTGCCCTTTGCTTGTGTGTTCGTGTTGTGTGCCTCTCTGATGCTCAAGCCGGGGATGGAAACACCTCTCTACTTTTGAGTAGGGATAAGGTCTACGTACACACCCTCCATAGACCATTCTTTCGTGAGATCCTACTGGGTTATTGTTGTTGTAATGTGTGCATAGTAAACATAATGTGAATCTAAAAAATGAATACCTTTTTGGGATGGAAGGAATATTTATTATCCATGTAACAACTTTATTTATTGTTACAGTAATTAATTGAACATTCATCCTAATACATCGTGTAACATCTGCAATTTTTTTCTATGCAGGTTGATGAAAGTGAAGTTTCAAGGTCAGCAGGACCTACCAAAGGGAAAAAATCTGCGAGGAAAAAGGTCATCGAGTATTGCTATGAACCTGAAATGGAGGAGGTCATAGAAACTTTCTAAAACTCATATTTTTTATTTGTTCTACTGCTATTAATTACTCCATCCGCTTCTTAAAACACTTCCTATTTCATTTTTTCGTTTTCCCTAAAACACTTCCACGTTGTATTAAAAAAACCACTTTTACCCCTACTTTTTCTTACCCTACCTATCACATCATACTTTTTCATTAATAATCTACCCATCACATCTTACTTTTACCCATTACCTCAAGGGCAAAATTGGAAAGTCAATTAAAAATAAACACTCATTATTCCTAAAAGTCAAAATAGGAAACGCTTTATGAAACAGAGAGAGTATTTTTATGTATTAAGACTTTATTTTAATACCTAGATGCAAAGCTAGAGTTTTTCTAAATGTGTGTATTATGTGTGCACACACCTGAAATCTCTATGAGAAGGTCATAAAACAGAGCTAGGAATGATGATTAAGATATGTTAGTGCCTTTTGGTGCTGTTTGATTTCAAATTTTTTGAGGGTAGAGGTAGGTTCAGCATACATATCCAAAAAATCCTCTACTTGGCCCTTGGGGTAGGGGTATGTTGGCATACTAACCCCCCCTCCCCCCCCCAAGGACTCTACTCTTATGTGGGTGTATTTGGTTTGATTTTTTTGTAAAGTTCTTTAAATTTTAAGTGATACAACAACAAGAAAGCCTTAACCCAAGTAACTTGATGTCGGCTACACGAACCAAGAGGAGAATCACATTCTCTCAAAGAGAAAATTGATGTTTGCGGAACATTTTTTTCATCAGATTGCATGATCTAGTTGATTTGCATGCCATTATAACATTGAGGAACGAAACTTATTACCTGTACCATGCAAAACTTGCTTTTTACATTATTATTATTATTAATATTATTATTAATATTATTATTATTATTATTATGCCTTCCAATTATTATTATTATTATTATTATTATTATTATTACACTCCCTTCATCTCATAAATAGAGTCCTATTTCTTAACTTATTTATTTTTTTGAGCACTAATAACTCTATCTCCACCTGTTTATTAATATAGGTATATAGGGTTTTTCTAGGAGTTGTACCTTACCAAAATAAAAAAGTTGTACAGTCATGGATGTGGACTCTTTTTATAGGACAGAGGAAGTAATAATAGTTAATTTTATAAGTTGCCAAGTTGGTTTAAAATTTTTTTTTGATGGTGAAATGCATTTTCTGCAAAGTATGCATATTTGTTTTCTGCATATTCAATATGTTCCATGTGTATATGGCATATGCTTACACTTGTTACAATGTCAGACTAAGGTTGTCTCTGATTGTAATATTATTATCCGTCAACTTGCTCATTTGTAATGGGTTGCTACTTGCTACAATGCTTTGCCCTGTATATGTATAATAACACACGACTTCCTTTTTAGGCTTATCGGTCAAGCATGCTGAAGGCATTTAAGAAGACCCTTGATGAGGGAGTTTTCTCCTTAGTAATTGGTATGATTTTTGGCATGTTGTGTGAAATTTTTCCTGCTTCTTTTAAATGTTTTGTTTTAAAAATCTATCAATGATCCTATATCTGTTTTTGCTATAATTGGAATTTAGTTCTATCTTCTATACAGATGATGAGTTGTTAGCGTTTCTGATTGTGTGGATTTCTTTCGAATTGTTTGCTGAAATGAATTACTCAAGTCCCAGTTCCATTTTTTGAATTACGTAAGATGTAACCCTTATAAGCATTGGCCCGTGTCTTAATTAGGATATTTGCTTGCAAAACCCCGATACATATTTTAATTTACATAAAAAAGTAAGGTTAAACTTAAAATGTGTGCTGGAGGTGGGTTCAGTTAAGTGTGCTAGATTCTCAAATTAAAGGCTCAAAGATAGATTAATTTTAGATTTAGTGGTCCTGCAGTGCGAATGCACTGCCTTCAGTTTACTAACAGCAGATGCAGTTTTGTTCGGCAATTGACCCATTTGTTGCTGGTATTTGTTCCTCATCTTAGTGGATGACCGCAATCTGCGGGTAGCTGATTTTGCTCAGTTTTGGGCAACTGCTAAGGTATACACTCAATTCTTGCTTTCCTACAAACAGTATATGTGATCTGTTCTTGGTATATCTGTTTGTGGGAATTGGGATACTATGAAGGTCTGCGATTTCTCGCCTTCACAGGTTACTTTCTGTTGCCTTGTGAACTATACATAGTCGCTTTTGGTTTCCATTTTAAGTATCCATTTGGAGGTCTGGTTAAAAATTCACTGCACCTTATGTGAGTCAGATGATCACTTTGGTCTTTTATTGATGGACAATTTGAATGCCGTGTACTTTATTTTGATGCTTAATTGTAATGCCATTATTTTATTCTTGAAATATATATCTTGTCAAATACAGAGTATATTTGGTTAAAAATTTGTTGCACCTTGTGTCAGGCAAATTAGCACTTCGGCCTTTTGTTTATGGACAATTTTAATACTGTGCACTTTATGTTGATACTTAAATTTATGCCATTATTTTATTGTGGATTATTTTTCTTGTCAAACGCGGATTTTATCGGATCCAAGGGTGGTTTCTGCTTGCCTGGTATTTATAATTTGTATTTCTGCATTTCCATGTGCTTTCACCACCATCACATAAAGAGATCCAATTTTTGTTTGAACTGAAGGGTAAAATAAATCTGTTGTAGGGATGAAACAAATTATGTATTCAATTTAACATGTCATTTTAATCAACTGTTAGTTTTTTTTCCGGTTTTTCCTAGGTCAATTTTAAGATGCGCGATAATGTGGCAGTTTCTCAGGACCCACAATCATTCTATCCTACATCTCTTTTAACTTTTCTCCGGGGAATCCCAGTTACATTAGCTTAGTGGGGTTTCATATAATCCTTTTTTATGCCATATATTTTATAATTTTCTTGTTTGATATTTGGCTCTGTCTTGAATCCTCTTATGTTTCGGGTGCATGATTGTAACAATCCACCGTTCCTACCACCAGTTCTCCTTATGTTTGTTGATATGAGGTTTACATATGGCTGCAAAGAAAAGTTTATCTTCAATAATGGATTTCCGATTTGATTCTATCAACCACACAAATTAAAACATCAACTTTGATTGTATGGATCTTTTTGTACATTGTAACCCAATGTTTTCAAAACACGGATGTGACATTGTACCAATGATGTTACCTGTCACCGGTTTGACCACTGGTCGAACTGGTATGACCTCATAAATAGAGATAAATCATAAATAATTATAATAATGATTTATACATATAATAGTATAAAATATAAATACATAACAAATTTTAAAGAAATAAAATACTCCCTAATATAAAAAAGGAGTTCTTCACACATAATTGGAATTAAGTATAAATGCAATTAGTTAGTGAGTTATTAAATGATTTTTTTTCTAGCGATGTGCAATACTGCAAGAGTGTGTAACTTCTGAAAGCTACTTTTTTATTATGTTTGCTGGGAATGTGGGTTTTGGTACATGTTTTCATCTATTTTCTACCAAATTTTGTAATAGTTTTTTGTATATTATACAAGCATCTATTTATTGTTCATATTAGTGGCATTCTTTTATTCATTCATTTTCTTATAATTGCAGAGATCTGGGTATGAAGTTTACTTACTTGAAGCCCCATACACGGACCCAGTGGTGAGTTAGCCATGATCAAATTTTAGCTCATAGTCACGAATTTGAAGATGCACATAGTGCACTAACCCATAGTTCTGCATGTATTTTAATAATTTAAATGAATATAAGTAAATGATATTATGGCATTTGCCCAAATTCTATCCCATTGACCCTAAATTATCTTCACATTTTCCTTTTTTGTCTGTAACAAAATGGTCACCACTCACTCATTTCCTTCTAAAGTAGCAATGTATAGCTCACAAATTTTCTCATTTTTAAATAAATTTCAACCACAAATATCCTTTTCTTATACTCTGCTCCTGTGCACTAAAAAAATTCTGTGCCTGGTCGAGACAATATTTAAGGGGCAGGAGAAGTACTTTATTTTCTCCTCAATTATGAATTTCAGGGGTGTGCAGCACGGAATGTGCATGGTTTTACACTGAGTGAAATACAGAAGTGGACTGATGAGTGGGAAGAGGCTCCATCAATGTACTTGAAACTTGATATTAAGGTCTGTTATATTTATAAATGATATGCAGCCTTGATGCATTCAAGTGTTCAAGCAATTAATGTTGTGCTAGCAGCAAAAAGTGTTTTCCTGTGCTCCTTTTTCTTGAGATGGGGGGTGGGTGGGGATCATGTTGGACACTTTTTTTATTATTGTATTTCCTTTCTACATATTTAAGAACCTTTATGTTTAAGTACTAAAGATGGGTGCTTGTGGTCTTTGTATCAATAGTTGCTGTATTTTAAAGGGTGCACTCTTCCTAAACGTGTTTTATTCTGTTCAGTCATTAATTCACGGGGATGATCTTGAGCATGGTGCGATACAAGAGGTACTTTTGTGACCAATCCACACCACATGCTTTCTTCTAGCCGATAATTCCTTACATGCATAAAAATATGTTTAAAAAACATTTATATTCTGGCCTAAAAGAGGAATAATGGTTTATTTAACACAATTATAAGTGTATGTGCTCATATCTAAATTTTAGGCAAAGGCTTCATGCTTGAGGTACTTAACTGTTCAATACTTCTGAAACACCTTTTCTTTTCTGACAAATTATTTTGTGCTGTAAATCATCTCCTTTTCTAGGTAGACATGGACATGGAAGATGGAGATGCATCAGCAGGACCATCTACTTCTGAACAAGGGATTAGCGGGAGTGCTGTAGTACCACCAATGGAAATATGTTCCGATGGTATGTTGTGAGCACTTGTGTTGCTCATTTTCTTAGATTTGCAATTGTCTTTTATGATTTCTCACAATTTTTCCTTTGAATTGGATTAAATATCTTATACTACAATGATGTTTTGATTTTGACGAACTGTGATAAAGTATGCATGGTCACAACTCACGACCATAATCCATCCAACCCATTCGGCAACTGATTAACAAATGATACCCAAGAACTCTCATTAAGTAGGAGTGGACCGACAAAAGGCCCCCTATAGGTGTGGGAAGGTTAAACCACTTAATCCTGAGTTGCAAACTTGTCCTATGCTCCACCTTTCTTTCATTTTACTTGTGTCTCTGTCTCTCTTGTTTCTTTACTTGGTGTTCCTCTCAATCTCGAATTGGTAAAGTTAGGGTATCATATGATGTATTTTAGTTGTTTTTGCTCTCTCTGCCCCAAATAAAGTTATTCCCATTCCAAGCATTCTTTTCTTCCCAAAAAAGGCAGTATGATCAAACAAGGCTGCTTTTTCTTGTAATTTGTTAAAAATATTGCCATCCAAGATTTAACCAACAAATAAATTTTAAAACTGTAGTCAAGACTCATGATTCCGTTTGCGATAATTGTACCTTACAAAATCTAAAAGTGATATATTGATCATGTTTTCTCGAGTACTGTAGTAGAAAAAAATACTTGTGATAGTTATACCTTACAAAATCTAAAAGTTATACACTGATCAATCTAACTCTGTTTCTTGGCTAGTGTAGTAGAGAAAAAAGTAACCTTATCTATTTAGGCTTAACATATGGAAGTGTAAGTTGTCTGTTGTGCTTACTGATGGTGGCTTCAAAGACATGCTCCCTGAATTTGTTGTTTCAATTTTGGATGCTGTAGGTCATTCTAAAAGTGTTTTGAGTTGGGATGATGACGAATCAGAACATCCAATTAGTTTAGTGAATGATATAGGGAAGAGTAAATGGTCAACTGATCTGGATGAGGATGATGTGCCAAAATATGAAAATACTCACAAGAAATCAAATGGCTCTGGTTTCATCCAATCTTCTCGAAAAGAAGGTAAAACAGTATGTTGGGGGGATCAGGTAATGTAGTTTATAGTGTTCAACACATATATTTCATGCCTTTCTCTTTAATTGATATAGTTGTATTTCTTATTTTCTCAATGGTTTGGCAACATTGAAGAAAAGAAATCATGAGTATAAATCTATAATATTGTATTGCCACAATTTTGCCTAGGCTGCCAAAGCGGGGTTTTCAATAGGAGCAAAAAAAGCGGCTAATGTATCATTAGTCATTGGTCCTGGGGCAGGATACAACTTGGTAAAAGTTCGACCCATATGCTTCTTTGGTGTGATTCAGTCACATTTTAAAGAAAGTATCTATATTCACAGTTGTTTTTGGGCTGGTATAATATAAAAAAAACGAATGCAGAAATCAAACCCCATTGCTGAAGGAGAAGAGAGTATGCCATCAATTGGTGGGTGGCAGACGAAGAGGAGGCAGGGGGTGTTCCAAGAACAATTGCGGGCTGAGCAAGAGTCCTTCAAGGCTGTTCTTGACAAAAGGCGTCAGCGAGTTGGGGGATTTGTTGGAGATGAGGAGTGAGTACGTCCAATTCGTTTGTGTAATATTGCCATTGATCGTTTAGTGTATAAGTTGGTCGGTATTAGTACATTATAGGAGAGATTATAAGACGAATGCATGAGATATCAGATGAACAACATTCTTTACTGTGTTTGTTTGTTGTACTAGTGTACATTATATAATATTGAGCACAAGTTTGAAGGGAAAGGCCTTTCAAATTGCAATGCACAAATGCACAATAATTATAATTTTTGTCACCTACCAAAAGTGTGCTATGCTATTTCTTGGGCTGCTGCTGTTTTAGGAGTAGTATATAGAGACACTCACTCACACATATTATTCTTTGTAATAATGAGTAAGCAGTAAAGAAAAGGTGTGGCACAAGTGAAGAAGAAGAAGAAGAAGCTACAGAGAAACTGTTTGGTGTGTGGAAGTAGTGAAACTAGTCATAGGGTGGAAATTAGGGGGGTAGGAGCTGTCAATTTTATGCATGGGGCACCGGGACACCTTTGGGTCATGCCATGACATGGGATTACAATGTCATCAGAACCCACCCGGCCTATATCTAAAGTTTACTTTTTCTTATTCTTTTTTGATGCTTTTCTATTCTTTTAAAGATAAACTTGTTGATTATAGAGTTGTTCGAGCAAATAAAAAAAAAACCAAGCAAATCTTGGGCACTTCGGTTATTAGCTATCTCCTAATAAAGTAAACAGCTATCCTTAGGAGCATGACTCCGAAACGTTTACATTTTTCTAATTTTTATATGGAGTACTTTGGCAACGTATTATGGCCGGAGGGTTGGAAATTTATTTAGAAGTATACAATTTATTTTTGGACAAATGAAAAAGGAAAAGTGTGAATCCAATTGGTAGATACAAATCATACAAGAAATTAAAGTACATTTGTTAACAATATTTTTTTTCTTATCACTAAACTATTAAATTCGACTATAAGATGCTTTGTTTTGTAAATGGTTTCACAAAAGGGCAAAAAAGTCCCTACACCCATATTATTCTTTGTTATTATGAGGTAAAACAGCTATAGCTAGCTAGTAAATTAAGATTAAAGAAAGAGTTTGGCACAAAGTAGATGGAAAACAACAAGAAAAGAAGGAAGGAAGGAAGGAAGAAAGAAAGGGATGTATCCATCTCTTTTAATTTGATTTAGGTAAATGCAATAAAGAAACAAAGGGATGATCTCTAGTGATTGTATATATATACACACACACACACCATCATCATTATCCCATTCCATTAATTCCATAGCTGAATTATATTGAAACCATATATTTAATTTGTGTATACACATACCTATACATATATATATTTATATCTCAAATTAAACTATTTGGAAGAATATAATGACAAGGACGACATCATCTGGCAATAATAATAATAATTCGGAATATGAACGAGTAGATCTTCATCATCTATCCTGCATTGTGAATTCAAACAATATTCTTTTAATATCTCTATCTCTTCCTCCTGGTATATATTTACATCTCAGTTCAAACTAGCTAGTTCCTCCCTTTCCCATCTTGTTCTTTATTTTTATTTCTTCTACAAATATATATAATGCGCAAGGCTCATATGACATTATTAATTATTAACCATGCAATGCAAATTTAATTTATTCATCTTCATTCTTCTTTGTTTTATTTATAGAATTCATGGGGGAGCACATAACAGTTATGATACGGGTTTCAAATGATCATCTAATCATAAAAGGAGTGGACGAAGCCAGCCATAAATACTTTGAGAAATCTATTCAAGTATCCACAAATTTTAATATTGGCAAAACTAAGGCAAGCTTTTTACTAGGCCTCCTTAGTGTAGTCATCCAAAAACTACCACCAACATCAACAACACAAGTCGAAAAGACTGACCCAACCAACGAAACGCGACCATCACCCTCATCAACAAGAGGAGACTACGAAAAAAAGAACAATCCCATTGAAGCCGGTGGTTCAATAATTGATGAGAAGAATGAAGACGCAACAGTATTGCGGATGATGGGAGATAATAAGGCTAGAACTTGTAGCGAAAGTGACACAGAAACTGAAAAACAGATTAAGATGAGAAGGGAGACGACGATGGGGATCACTATCATCATCGTTGCAGCTATTGTGGCATTATCCTCATTGATCTTTAGTCATCTCTATTCACAAGTTGACATGTGATTATGAACGCATAAATTGAGTACATATGTATGTATATTTAATCTATAGAATGTGTGAACACTAATATATTGATATCTAAGACAAAAGAATAGGGAATAATGCACATTCTTATTCCAATAATTGCTCTGTCCATTTATGTTTAATTGCCATGCATCTCACCCATTCTTATATATACTAGCCTTTGATTAGAAGATTATCAGTCAATATTAAGAGATAGCTACCACAGAATTACTCGATCTATAATACTAACTATCGATTACTTTAATTACGGAGTACATGATAATTGATCTACTAATGAGTGATTAAAGAATTTTGAATTTACCTCACCTATTTAAGACTCTAATGAAGTCCAACTTAGGATTAAGTAGAGAAACTAATGAACTAAAAAGAAAAGGTCAGGCATTGTGGTTGTTGTGCTCCTCCATATATAAAAGCTTACCTTTTTCTTCTTCTTTTTTCAGGCTTTTCTCTCCTTTTTTTAATGATAAATTTTTTGATAATAGGTTTTTTCAAGTCAAGTTCATAGATATACTCATTTAATCAATCTTGGGCACTTTAAAAATCTCTCAACAAGATTTCATTTCCACTAAACAAATTCTATCCATATAGTAAAACATTTTTTTATTAGTTTACTCAAACTTTGTGCCTAAACTTTGTTAGATACAAAGATATATGCTTTGTTTCAGAAATGGTTTTGACAAAAAGGGCAAAAGGGTCCCGACACACAAGCCACGCATATATGGTTTGGGAACCAGAATCTATACCAATACAATTATACTACCCCTATTAGTATTATGCTTCTCCCTCTCAATTTTGTTTACAATTTTTTTCTTCCATCTCAAAAACTTTTGTTTATTTGTATGTTATCGTTGATTATTGAATAAAATAAAATATTCTTATCACCTCTTGTTTTCAACAACTTTTGACGTAATTTTTTAGTATGTAATTTTTTATTTTTTAATCGATATATACCAATTTGTAAATAAAATAATTTCAAAAAATGGAAGATTTTACCTCGTAAATCTTAATTTATAATCAAATTTGGAACGGATGGAGCATTACAATAGAATGGCCTCCTACAAAAACAAATAGTAATTAATCTTCTAAATCACACACACACACACACACACACATATATATATATATGGTATTGTTACAAGGTTGATACTATATTTTCTTTTACATGTATATTTATCTATCAGTATACATATCAATTACTGAATTTTAAGTTTACTTTTAAAAAATGTATGTATCAGCATGAGTATCGAGACAGAAAAAGACTAGAGGAGAGGGCATATTATGAAAGGAAACTTCACAAGTGAGATAGGGAATCTAATTCTTGCCTGCTACATGCCCTCATCCACATAACCATAGCATTTTACTCCATCAAAAATCAATGCTAAAGGAGCCATTTACTTTTCGCTGTTTTAGATCTCTTCCTTAAGTGTCATACTCCCTCCTTTTTTCGTCCATGGTCTACACTACTCCGTCCCAAAAACATATTCCTCTTGGGAGTTAGCAAAATTAGACACAAATTAAATATATATGAAATACATAAAAAAATTCAAAAAAGAAGTGGTAACAATAGGGGTGGATAAGATATAGTATGGTTCCGGTACACATTTTAGAAGAACTGGAACTAGTTCCAGGAAATTTCAATTCCAGTCCTGGTTCTAGTTCCGTACCGATTCCACGTGTCGGGAATCTAGATGGGGTGATAACGCTGCATAGCAGCGTTATATAGAACCGTATACGAACGAAAGTGAAGAAACTTAATAGAGTAAACGAATCGCATTAGATTAAAATTATTTTTAAGTAAACCAAAATACTTCAATTATATATGATGTTAGTATCTAAAATTAGTATGGAAAATATGTCAATACTCAAATATACTCCGGGGCTCCATATATATTGAGCGCAAGCTAATCGAACGTGTCTGTTGATGAAACAACACTCCTTCACTCAAAACATTCAAATGTTTGCAACAATTATTGTTAAATATATTGTTTTTGTAGTTTTCTGCACCAACCTTCACGTCTTATTGCAAAACATTAGAATATTCAAGAGTAACATTCAAATGTATCAAGTCTTTTAGCAAGGAATGTTGGATATAAACATTACATTAAAACGTTTAATTTTATACATTTAAATGTACATTAGTTTGAACTCTATTTACGAAAATCGAAAAGATGTTCCTAAAATCTTTGTCCCTTGGACCTCGTTGGAGGCTACCGCCCTTGACGAGAGTATTTCTACACTCCTTAGTGTACCCATAGCATGTTTGTTTCAAAATTGATGAGAGTAAGTCCGTATGGATAGCGTAGTTGGTCCAAAGGAATCGTATGATCAAATTGCGACAACTACAGTTTATGAGTTCTATTCTATGTAATACTCCATAGTTCTTTGTGTGAAGTAAACATGAGACGATCTCAATTATATCATGATTTAACCTTTTTACAAATTTGTCGGGGGCTTAGGTGTGGGAGTGTCCAAAATTGATGAGTATTTCTACCAGAAATCATCAACCGTGAAAAGTAAAATTCGAAACCCAAGAAACAGATTTACGAGGATGAAAAGGGAAGGTAAAAAAAAAGTAAAGTAAATAACCAACCACAGCGCCCACGAATTAGTCAAAATACAAATATATTTCTTTAAAGAAAAAAGAAATGAACAATAAAAGAATAAATTGCTACCCATTTCTCTCTCTCTCTTTCATCTTATAGTACAGTCTGTCTTCATCAATCATCCAACGGCCTCTCTCGCACGCACCATGAAACCATGACGGCATTCTCAGAGCATCACCGTCCACCTCATCAGCAGTCGCCCCCACCCCCGCCGCAGAAACCGCCGAAGAAAGTCCGTAAACTCGCCGTTGAGGTAAAAAACGCCCGGAAACTCACTCCCAGGGATGGGCAGGGCAGTGCGAGCCCATTCGCAGTCGTGGAATTCGGCGGCCAGACGAAGCCCACCAATACAGTACCGAAGAGCTTGGCTCCCGAATGGGAGGAATTGCTCGAGTTCACCGTCCCGGATCCCGACGAGATGGAACAGGCAGATCTCTTGATCACGGTGCGCAGTAACAGGGATTTCTTCAATGGGAAAGCCACCGATGATCCCATCATCGGGAAAGTCCGGTTGAAAGGAAGCCGCGCCGCGAGGAGAGGGGAGGAGGCACTGGAATACTATCCGATTGAGAAGAAGACTTTCTGGGGCACGCAGATTCGAGGCGAAATTGGGTTGAGGATTTATTACTACGATGACGACGAGGAAGAGACTGTTCAAGCGGAGGAGCCGCCGCCGCAGGAGCACCAGGCGCCAGACAAGAAGGAGGAACTGAGGGATTTGCCTGCAGCGGTGATGCTAGATGACGTACGGCCAAGGATGATGGAAATCCCTCCTCCTGCTGCTGATGCTTTGTCCGATGATGGGCGAGAATCTTCTCCGCCCATTGTCACCGTCGAGGACTCTCCTCGGTTTAGGAATATTCCACCGCCGATTGAGTACCAACAGCATTACGAAATGGTTCCGCCTGGTATGAACATCCCTCCGCCGTTCGAACACCATCCTCCCCCACCTGAATTGAAGAGGATGCAGGCGGGGAGAGTTGGGGACAGGGTTAAGGTCTTGACGCGCCAGAAAGGCGGGGAGCTTTCGCCCAGAGCCATTGCCGGGAAGTTGCCGGAAAAGTCGGAGAAGAACTCTGCGTACGATCTGGTCGAGCAGATGCAATACTTGTTCGTTAAAATAGTCAAAGCTCGCGGGATCGCTCCTAGCGAGGCCCCAATCGCCAAGATTAGAACGTCCGCCGGAGGGGTCACCTCCAAGCCGGGATTGTTTCGGCCGGGACAGCCAGGGGATCCTCCGACGAGCCCGGAATGGAATCAGGTATTTGCTCTCAGCCACAAGCAGAACGGGTCAAGCTCCACCCTGGAGATTTCAATTTGGGACGGTTCGTCAGGGCAGTTTCTGGGCGGCGTTTGCTTCGATCTCTCCGACGTTCCAGTCCGCAACCCGCCGGATATTCCATTAGCTCCGCAGTGGTACCGCCTCGAGTCCGGTGATTCCGTTGAACCCAACAAGGTCGCCGGAGACATCCAGCTTTCCGTATGGATCGGGACTCAAGCAGACGAAGCATTTCCCGAGTCGTTGAGTTCAAATGAACCGCCGGTGGCTCACACGCGGCCCAAGGTTTACCAGTCTCCCAAGCTGTGGTATTTCAGAGTGACCGTCATCGAAGCACAGGATCTCCCAATTCCGCCCAATCTGCCGCCGTTGACTAAGCCGGATATTCGGGTCAAAGCACAGCTAGGGTTCCAGTCCATACGGACTCGGAGCGGGTCAATGAACGCCAACAGCTCGGCGTTCCACTGGAACGAGGACATCGTCTTCGTCGCCGGCGAGCCACTGGAAGATAGCCTGATCTTGCTCGTGGAGGACCGGACGGGGATGGATCCCATACTTCTCGGCCACATCGTAGTTCCCATGAACTCGGTCCCGCAGCGGCTGGACGAACGCCTCGTGCCGGCGAAATGGTACGGATTGGAAGGCGGCAGCGAAGGACCCGGTGGGCCATACATGGGCAGGCTGAATTTAAGGGCGTGTTTGGAGGGAGGATATCACGTCCACGACGAAGCAGCCCACCTGTGCAGTGATTTCAGGCCCACGGCCAAACAGCTATGGAAACCCGCTATTGGGACTCTGGAGCTTGGAATTCTCGGAGCCCGCGGGTTGATGCCCATCAAGTCCAATGGCCCAGGAGCCAAAGGATCCACCGACGCCTACTGCATCGCCAAGTACGGCCCGAAATGGGTCCGGACCCGGACCATAATGGACTGCTTCGACCCGCGTTGGAACGAGCAGTACACGTGGCAAGTCTACGACCCTTGCACGGTTCTCGCCATTGGCGTCTTCGACAACTGGCGCATGTTCGCCGCCGGTGACGGGGAGGAGATCGCCGCCGACTACAAGATTGGCAAAATACACATAAGGGTGTCCACGCTGGAGGTCGACAAGGTGTACACCAGTTCGTACCCGTTGCTCGTCCTGTCCCGGACCGGGTTGAAGAAAATGGGGGAAATCGAGCTGGCGGTCCGGTTTTCTTCCCCGGCGATGCTGCCAGACTTGTGCACAATTTACGGACAGCCATTACTGCCACGCATGCACTATCTTCGCCCGCTAGGGGTGGCTCAGCAAGAGGCGCTACGTGTGGCCGCCATTAAAATGGTGGCTGCTTGGCTGGCCCGGTCTGAGCCGCCATTGGGGAGCGAGGTGGTCCGGTACATGTTGGACGCGGACTCGCATAACTGGAGCATGAGGAAGAGCAAGGCTAATTGGTTTCGGATCGTAGCGGTTTTGTCTTGGGTCGTCGGGTTGGCTAAATGGTTAGACAGTATCCGGAGGTGGAGGAACCCGGTCACGACCATTCTGGTCCATATTCTCTACTTGGTTCTCGTATGGTACCCGGACATGGTTGTCCCGACCGGGTGCCTGTACGTGTTGTTGATCGCAGTGTGGTACTACCGCTTCCGGCCCAAAATACCCGCGGGTAAGGATGCCCGGGTGTCGCAAGCCCAGATAGTGGACCCGGACGAATGGGACGAGGAATTCGACACGATTCCGAGTTCAAGACCGTCGGAAGTGGTGCACGCCCGGTATGACCGGATGAGGATATTGGCAGCAAGAGTCCAAACAGTGCTGGGCGATTTTGCAACACAGGGAGAGAGGTTGCAGGCACTGGTGACCTGGAGAGACCCTGCAGCCACAAAGATGTTTATAGTGGTGGGATTGGCAGTTACCATAGTGTTGTACTTGGTGCCGGCAAAGATGGTGGCGGTGGCGCTGGGGTTCTACTTCCTCCGCCACCCCATGTTCAGGGACCCTATGCCACCGCCCACCCTCAACTTCTTTAGAAGGCTCCCCAGCTTGTCCGACCGTTTGCTCTAGTTACAACATACCAGTAGCAGCAGTGTGCACAATTAGGACAAACAAACAAAAGCGACTTTGTTGACGATGGAGATTTTACAGTGACCACACATTTTTTTTCTTTTCCCAATGTGTTTCTTTTGTTCCTTATTAATGCCAAAAATAAAATAGAGAGAAGAGGAGCAAAATTTGTCCTGGATTCAAGGGCAGATTTGAAATGACATTAATTCTGTCGTCAAAAGTATTGACATTATTGGTTTCCATTCTTATAGTGTGCTAACTAATGATCATTTCCACTATTTCTTTCCTGCTCTGGTGAATAAGTATAATGCAAGACTTTACTCTCTTTTACTCATGTTTTTGACCAACTTTAGATACTCCAGAACTAGCAAATAAGGTAGGAGCAGAAAGACTTTTTTGGCACCCAGCTAGCTATCAAAGGGTAACTTAAAAATGGCAAAGAACAATTCACAATAACTGTGAGACAATTCCCAGGCCCGTACCATATAAGTACATTCTCCAAAAGATCAGACCATCAAGACTATCTGCTAAACATTTGTATGAACACAAAGTGTGGAGGTATGAGCATTTACAGAGGTCGTTAGTCACGGTGAGAAGCCTGGAGAAGGCCATCACGGATCTGAGAGGCCACGTCACGAACTGCTCCGGGCCCATGAGGGATGAAGACGGTGGATGATTTGTTGGTAGCACCGATTTCCTTCATTGTGTCAAAGTACTGGGTGACTAGAACCATGTCCATGACATCTTTGGCTGAGGTTCCCGGGACGTTGACCGAGAACCCTAGAACACTATCTCTAAGCCCATCCACAATGGCTTGTCGTTGGCGAGCAATACCTAACCCCGCGAGGTACTTGGCCTCAGCCTCCCCCTCTGCCCTCTTAATCTGCAAAATCTTTTCAGCCTCTGCCTTCTCATTCGCAGCAAGCCTTAGCCTAGCAGCTGGGAAAAGATAATCAAAGTGAGTCCAAAAATCAGTGGCGTGTTAATTTTCTTTCTTGATATTCTTATTGTAAGCTTTTAAGCTTTAACAATGTACAACCATTGAAAACAACCAGTTCAAGGTACTTCAATGAATTCATAGAATAAAGTAGGAACGTAGCACAAAGCCAAATTGGACAAGAAAATATCTTCTTTTTTCCAGCATTGATTTCATTCATAGCTTTCTTAACGTGCTCATCCGGTTCAATATCAACAATTAGAGTCTGAACAATCTCATAGCCATAAGCAGACATAGCCTGTGAACAAAACAACGGTTTCTGTGAGAAATTTGAGAACTATGAAACAAATTTGATCTTCAACAGCCTTGGCAATAGAAAATTGTGGGAGCTACTGACCTTCTCAAGTTCATTTTCAACAGCCTTGGCGATATCATTTTTTTGCTCAAAAACATCATCAAGATTGAGTTTGGGAACGCTGGCCCTGATTACTGGGGCATATATAAAACGAAAATCCATTTCAGGTAAACTAAAAATGTAGGCGACAGGAATAGGTCTGCATATAAGCGAAGGACAAGTTTTATCATAAGTATGTACCATCAAAAACGTATGCCTGAATTTGACCCTTAGTGTTGCTCAATTTATAAAAGGCATCATTTGCCTTTCCAGCAAGGGCTCGGTACTGAATTGATGCCACAACATTGACAAATACATTGTCCTGCAAACTCATCATTAATGAATATCAATAATACCCAACGTGAACAGTTAAAATGGACTGACTGAGACTAAAAGGAGTAGTATCTTATATCTTGAGCCCTTCATGAGGAAGGAAACTTAAGTAGTAACAAACTTCTTTCTAATAAGGGAAAGACAAATGACTATAAGAGAATAGTACACCTTGGACTTGGTCTCACAACGGACTTCCACTTGCTGCACACGGAGTGAGAGATGACCAGCCACTTGGCTTCCGAGGAACCAAGGCACACAGTGGCATCCTGGCTCTAGCACATCCTCATACTTACCAAAATGTTCTTTAATCGCCACAGTGGACTGATCAACTTGGATACAGCCTAATAGATTTCCCATCTTCCTTAAGCTAGAGAAACACAAATGTTAACAATGATATCTCAGTTTCCAATGGCTAAGACTTGAGAGACTCTCTTAGAGTACTAACAGGGAAGCCATTTGAATGACCAATCAATTACATTACAGAATCATGGATACTAGACCCCGGTAAAGTGATAATGTACCAGTGAAAAGAAGACAATCTAAAGGACATATAAAACAGTTGGCTTCGTATAAGTGATCTCTACAAACTCAACATTGGGCTCACTGATTGATTTTTCAATGAATAGTAAACCAAATGTACAGGAGGTTTTGCATAAGTCAACAAAGTCTACATTTGGTTTCTCTACTGACTCTACATTTGTTTCAAGTACTTTCTAAATGAATAGATAATGTTATACTTCACAATAAATCTAACAGATGTAACAACAGAAAATTAAAAAAACAAAAACTAAAAATGTGCAATGTGAGACTTGAACAAAATAATATGGAGTACTTTAAATTTAAAAGTACTGAGTAATACTTTTCCATTTGAAAAGTATTATTTTCAACTTTTGAAGTACGTTTTGGCCCCCTTCCAAAGGAGTCCATCAAGATAAAGCCTCGGTAATCCGTGAAGGGCCAAGCTCTACCCAACCTCTTGGTTGGATGCGACCCCAACAGCTGAGGATGGAGAATGGTGGACTAACTGATCCTTGGCTCCTAAGCCATGCGGGGGAGGGGACGTCCAGGTTACACCCGAAGGATTCTACACTTATCATGCCATCAAGTTCGCCTTCAAGGTGACGAAAAATGAGGCCAGGGCCGGTCCGTAACATAAAAGGGCCCTGTGCAAAAAATGGCCCTATTGTATCTAATAAATGCAAAATTTAGAGAAGTTTCCCACTAATTACTTGATTTGTTATAATGAAATAGAAAATATGTATACAAGGTTATAGATAAAGAGACACCCTCTTTGTATATTTTGATGCAAAATTGTCAATCAAACTATTTATATCCTAGGAACAATTCTTGAAGTTAAGTGTAGAAATTATGAGAAACAAGGAGGAATTTTTTTTATTTTTTATATAAAACAAAATAATGTCCCGAGCTTATAAAATTAGAGAATCCTAGATCCCTAATCTGTAATTAGTATTTAGTAATCGACCTCACCTCACCATATCGTTTCCAGTTTGTCAATTTCTATCATTCTATAAGTTATTTGACCTAATTAGCGATATTTTATTTAAAAAAAATTTAAAAAATCAAAACAAAAATGATTTCCTATCAAATTGCAATTCATTCGTCATTCTAAATGGAAATTTAAAGTAAAACTCTGTGTAGAAGAAAGAACTCAAATGAGACATGCAAATCTTTAAAAAAAAGCATCAATTATCTAAAGAATGAAAACTGAAAAGGGAAATAAAACTAGAGATTCATACCTAGAGAGCTGGACCAATTGAGGGTGGTGGTGGAGCCGTGGAGGGAGGACGCACCGTCGCAGTGCAGGCGGCGCGTCTTCGGCGTCGCTCTTCAGAAATAGGAGGTTGGCTGCTGGTTGTTCTTCCTCCCGTGAGAAAGGCGATTCAATTGCCCTAATTGCACATATAATAATTAATTAAACTATTTGTTCATATAAAAAAAGTTAAGGTAGTGTTTGACAACTAACACTTCATTTCAATTCATGCATTTTAATTCCAAAATTTGAAATCTTGAATTTCAAATGACAAGGAGAGGCGCATCGATTTCAAATTAAGCTTTGTTATGAATGAGAAGAATTTGATTCAAATCCAAATTCAAAATTTTTAAGTTCCCCAAACATGGAATTTGAGCCAAATTTGGATTTGAAATCCAAATCTATGTTCCCAAACATACCATAAATGAATTTAAAAGCTGGAGGCTCAAACACCACAAAAGAAATGTGATATCGAGAAATACGGGGTATGAAAAGTGTGGATCCGAGACACGTGGCTCGAAATTAACAATACACGTTGGCCCTTAACTGCAATTAATCAAATTAAATAAATAAAATGAGATACGGCACTTTTCAAAACTGATGTTATTTAGAGAAAATCATTATGTTTTAGTGTTATTTAGGTAATTTCCTCAAAATAAAAATTGTAATGGAATGAAGGAAAGACATGCTGCATTTTTTATATTATAATAATAATAGAAAACTAATACTACCTCTGTCTCATAGTATTTGTTCATTTTTAATTTTTTTTCAGTCAATCGTTTTGAACCTTTGACCTACAATTATATATATATATATATATATATATATATATATATATATATATATATATATATATATATATTGTATATTAAATTGATAAAATAATATTTTGAAAATGTCTTATATAATAAATACGGAGTATAATAAAATTATTTTTGAATCAATAACTAATATCATTCTTATTTAATTTGGGATCAAAGTTTATCATTTTTGACCAAAAAAGTTAAAAATGGATAAATATTTTGGGATAGAGGGACTAATAATATTAATTGTTTCCAAATTCTATTGCATTTATAACTATTATTATATTTTAATTAGGATTCTCCATGTATTATCTATATATATTAATGTAAGTCTCATGATTCATTAAGAACAATTATTATCAATATGGTATAGTAATTTTCTGTTCCAAATTAATCTCTCTTGTTTCTTTTTTGGATTGTCTCAAATTAATCTTCCTCTTTTCTTTTATGTAAAGGCTTTTGTGGCTCACATTTTTCCCTTCTCATCTACATGACTTTCAACCATATAATTTTATTTTTGTTAAAGTCTATTCAAATTCAAATTAGGAGTTTAAAACTGGAAAAGAGTGACTATCAAATAAAAAAAGAAAGTGGAGTAAGGCTCTGTTCCGTACGCCTGATCTGATTGAATCTGAACTGAATTTTTGAAGTTCTGATCTGATCTGATTGAGTATGATCTGATCTGATTGGGTATGACCTAATCTGTTCTGATTGGATCTGATTTGACCTGATTGAGTCTGATCTTATCTGATTGAATCTGATCTGATCTGATTGGATATAATATTATCTAATTAGATCTGGTGTAGATGAATTTAAATTTGATTTAAATTAAAATTAAAATTATTACAAAATTTAATAGTTTTAAAGTATTAAAACTCTTATAAGCAAAATTTAATATCACAACTTTTTTAATTTTTGTGAAAACTAAATAATCGATATTAAAATAACCAAATATTAGAAAATATTGATGTTATTCTACAAAAAACATTCTATATACATAATACATAATAATATATTTCATGTTACAAATCAAAGATTACATAAAATTTTAAACACTAATATCCCTTTCACCTCTATCAATTTTGTCCTAAACTCACCCTTATGCATATTATATCATCTTAAAGATTAAAAGTAAGTCTTTTTAAGTATAAAATATTTATGGTTTCGAAAACTAAGTTTTGTATAATTATTTTATAAACAAATATTTTAAAATAACTCTTTTTAAAATATGAACAATATAACTTTTTAAGCTTTAATATTGTTTCCATGCATCATTTCTATCTTACAAGCTAAAAAATTATTAAAAACAGTGGTTTGTAGTTGAAATATAATAATGATAATAATAATACTAATAATAATAATAATAGCAACAACAACAATTAACAACAACAACATAACAACAATAATAATTAAAATTATAATATTAGTTAAGATTTAGGTGTGTGTAGTTTTAAATAAAGTAATGTGATTTAATCAAAGAATAGTACTTATTATTTAATCCTTGAAAAATATAAATATAATTTTTTATATTTTTTCTTGATTTGATATTATTAGATTTGATCTGGTCTGATTTGATCTGATTGGATCTAATATGATATGATTGAGTTTAATCTGATCTGATTGAATCTAATCTGATTTAATTTTAATAAAAATAAGTAATAAGTAGAAAAAATAAGTGCTACCAAACGGACTCTAACGCAACTATTACGGTCGAAAAGTGCGATTATCCCACGTAAGAAACGGCAGGCATACATCACCCACCCACACACACTCGTGCATTATATATATAGAGCTCGCATCTTTTAAGCTAAGGCGGTACTACGTTTTGCTAGTTATCTTATAAATTACTTGTAGAAGATACTATATATAATAACACAAGTATAATAGTTACTACTCATCATGATGAGGAAGACCAAAACGGTGGAGAAGAGAGACACCACCAGAAGGAATACCACCGGAGGAGAAACTTCCGGTGGCGGCCGCGGCGTAAACATGAGAAACAACGCCAGGTTTCGGTACGCCGAATGCCGCAAGAACCACGTCCCCGCCGCCAACATAGGCGGAAACGGCGCCGTCGTGCTGGACGGCTGCCAGGAGTTCATGGCAAGCGGTGGCGTTGAGGGGACTTTCGCCGCCCTAACTTGTGCTGCTTGCGGCTGCCTCAAATTCTACCATCGAAGAGAGTGATTTATAATTAAGTTGTTATTACTTGTATTACTATATACTCCGTATATATATATATAACGTGCATGCAATAATGGGTTGTTACTTGTTAGGGCTTGGTATCAATAATAATAATAATAACCTAGCTACGCACTTAATTATATCTTGTGCTCTAATTCTCTAAGTAAATTAATTAGGAGACGTTACTTGACTTTTTGTTCTGCGATATATTGAAATACTATATTTAAACTGAAATTACATTATTGTAATAGAACTAATAGTGGAAAAAAAGAATTACTCCGGTATTAGATGTATGTGTGATTAGGTTCGAGTTTGATGTTATTAATTATTTGCACAAAGGTTAAAAAAAGTGGTAATATCGGATTCATACCGGAAGATACTAAAAGCAACTTGAAGAAATTGGGATTAATGAATGGATAAAGCTATTTGTACCCCAAGTTTTTGTACCCCACTTTGTACTCCACAGGTTTGCAACAACACTTTGTGTTGGTGTAAAACTAATTTTTGTTAATGCACCAATATTTTATGTCCGTGTACATTTTTTTTAACGCACCAACACTTGTGTCGGTGTAAACCATCAAAATGTTTGTGTATAACTGCGGTATACAAATGGTGTACAATTTATGGTGTAAGTGTAGCATGACCCTTAATGAATTAAGTTGGAAAAAAATTGAAACGAATAGAAATATTAAAAAGGAGGGGTAAGAAAATGGTTGGAACGGATTGTAAAAGTGTAAAAAATTAAAAAGTGTTTGAAAATTAATAAATACCGAGTACTCTTTTAGTTTGGAAAGAATCTTCTTTGACTTTTCTTGATCAAAGTTTGTAAATTTTAACTTTGATATATTAAAAAAATACATTGTGTTTCGATATAAATACAATATTAATAATAATTTCCTTACGAAACTTAATTGTAAATATAAAAAAAAAGAAAGAATATATTTCCATATATTCCCGTATATATTATTTTGGTAGTTTCTCGTATATATTGATATCTTTTCTTTTGTATCTAGCTTCCATATAGAGTCCTAAGTTGTGGGATCCTATATATATACGACCTTTGTCTATATTGTGATGACAAGAAATATAAGAGAATTTCTCCCAATTACAATTATTTCATGGTATAAGAGCAAATTCTGGCCTACCTCGTTTGTGAAATTGTCCGTTTAGACGTTCATTTCTAGCGGCCCGTTAGTTTTTAGCCCAGTTGTCCGTATGTAGTATGTGCCCAATGTTTAACACGATTGCTCGTCTCGAAGTCTATACCCAGCCGCTCGTGGTCCTTTAGATATTGGCGCTCAAAAACGATCAATGGAATGAGAGTTCATTTGCAAGTGGTTAACTGGTTAGAATCAAAATGACCCGGTTGTCCACTTGAGAGAGAGTGTTAGAATGCATCCCACATCGGAAGTTCAAAAGTAAAATAATCGGTATATAAGCTTTTGTGTTAAACTAACTAATTGATTGGATTTAATTTTTAGTTTGATTCAACCCAAGTATTTTATTACCCAATCTCATTATCCTTATCCCATTTTAAATTTATCAATAAAATATTAAGTTTTCATAAAATATATCCATGTATCAACCCGGGATTTCATATTTTTATTTTCAAAATATGAGTTACAATATAATGCAAATAATATTAAGATATATATAATACCAAAAACACTATGCAACACTACTACAAAAACGACCAAATAAATCGCCCAATTTGCATCGGCAAACAAAACAAACAATGTAAAAGTAAAAAAATTTCGCGTATCGCTTAGCTTTTGGATCGGTTGTTTCTAATAACCAATTCAAAAGATTATTTGAATCGGTTATTAGAAACAACCGATCCAAAAACTAGAACTCATTTGCATCGGTTATTTCTAAGAACCGATTCAAATAACCTTTTGATTCGGTTATTAGAAACAACCGATCCAAAAGCCTTGATAAAATACATCCACCCCATTCTTATCCTTACGCGATTTTGAAAAAAAAAACCTCCAAACCCTTTCAGATCTTCGTCTTCGTCGTGCTCGTGCTCCTCGACGTTGTCTTCTCACCCTCGCCGTCGTTGTTGCATCGCGTCGCCTCGCCGTCGCCGTGCCACTGCCGCCTAGCCGTCGCCGTGCCACTGTCGCCTAGTTGTCGCCATTCCCTTGCCTCCTCGTGCCTTAAGGCTTTTGGATCGGTTGTTTCTAATAACCGAATCAAAAGGTTATTTGAATCGGTTATTAGAAATAACCAATGCAAATGAGTTCTAGCTTTTGGATCGGTTGTTTCTAATAACCGATTCAAATAATCTTTTGAATCGGTTATTAGAAACAACCGATACAAAAGCTAAGCGATACGCGAAATTTTTTTACTTTTACATTGTTTGTTTTGTTTGCCGATGCAAATTGGGTGATTTATTTGGTCGTTTTTGTAGTAGTGAAAAGTGTCAAATTGCATTATAACAATAACCATTTTTGAGATTAAAAATATGGAATTTTTATATTGAGTATTTTCCTATGTCTTACTCCTATGTAAATAATTTTTTTTTCACAACAAAAAATTTCTTCTTTTTTCTCGAACGCCCATCAGCCCATGTGATAAAAAGTTGACCGAAGTAGCATAGCTAAAAAGCCTAAAAGTCTCAAGGCCCAATATTTTTTAAGCCCATCCCCTATTTTCTACTCTCTCCGTTCCTAAATATTTGTCACACTTGTATTCTCAAAGCAAAATATCAAGTTTTTCATTTCATTTTATTTACATATTGGTATAAAAATAAAAATAAAATTTATATATTAAAAAAGTACATGAAAAGTTCTTCGAAATAAGAGGCGTTAAGAATATTTTATTTTATCAAATAACTAATGAAAACGTAGAAATAAACAAAAGTTCCCGCCACTGCTAAAAAAGCAAATGTGACAAATATTTTGGAACGAAGGAAGTATTTCTTATTGTTTACCCGAGTGATACTACATTTTATATTATTTCTATCCCAAAAAATCATCATATTTTAATTTTTTTAACTAATTGTGTTATATTATTATTATTATAAACTGTGAAAAAATATATTTAATTATAATTTAAATTGAATAAATTTGGGTTCATGCTTAAGTATTATTTTGATATACAAAATTTCTAGTCGTGTATAGTTGGATTAAAAGAATTAAACTATGAGATTCTTCTTGAAATAGAGAGAGTATTGGACAATTCTTTCTTGAAATTAATTGACTCACAAAAAAATTCAACTTCTTTAATTTTTTTGAGCAAAATTTAGGGGGTTGTATTCAATCCAAACTCTGCATGATTTTTTTAGATTTTAAAAGTTAGTGGGTATTCAATTGAGATTTTAAAGAATCATTTAAAATTTAGAGGTATTCGATAGAAATTTTAAAAAAATTTTCTAAATCTAATGATATTGATATAGTGTTGTTATAATTGTCACTAACATAAATTATAATATTCCTAGAGATATTCATTCATGCATTGAACATTCGATCAGTTGCGTAGTTTTCTTTTTTGTTGTTGTTTGTCTTGATTGCATATTCAATCTTCGATTTATTTGAATCCGTGTTGACCCGTTACGTCCTTCGATACAACCGAGTACTTTCCTCGGTTCCAAATATTTAAACATTGCAGTTGAACTGATATTGATGATTCGAAGCATTTATGCCTTTACTGCGTTCTGTTTGAAAAATTGATGATTCCTACTCTTCCGGTAAACTCCTACCCTGGTCCTATCCAAACCGACTCCCACCCTCCCTAATTGCACCCCACAAAATTTAGTTGACTTTGAGTCAACTTTGACTCCAAAGTCAATTATGTTTTGTGGGGTGCAACTGGAGAGGGGTCCGTTTGGGTCGGTCAGGGTGGGAATTTACTGGGAGGTGTTTGAAAAAGGTAGATAAAAATCATCCTAAATAGGACTAAAACATAGATAAAAGTACCAAAATAGGACTTTCATGTTTTTTTTCCCGAAATAGGACTGATGGATACCCTGGACAGGGGGTATCCGGTCTTTGTATAATATAAGTTGGGGCGGTCCAGTCTGTTGGACCGGCCCGTTAGTTGTATATTGATTATTTATTTAAGGGCGGCCCAGTCTGTTGGGCCGGCCCATTAGTCTGATACTCTAGCCTTAACTCTCCCATTATTTATACTCCTCTTCTTGGAAGAGGAGAGAAGAGGAGAGAAGAGGAGGAAAAGGAGGCTCAACACTACACAACACCCACACTATTCATCTTCTTCTTCATACTCTTCTCCTTCTTCCCTATCCTTGGGTTCCATAACCCAACAAGGACTTTGCACTGTGGTAATGTGACTTTGCCCTGTGGCTATGTGGCAGTGTACATGTGCAAATTACTATACGTTTTTGGTAATGTATATGACCATTTATGGTAATATAAGTCCTATTTCGGGAATAAAAACATGAAAGTCCTATTTTGGTATATCTTCAATGTTTTAGTCCTACTTTGGTCTTTCTCCAAAGATAGAAACCATCAATTTTTTCGAACGTAACATCTTAAGCAAAAATTTTTAACGTATGCCACGCTGCCCGTGTATGAAGATATATTCCTTGTGTTCACACTTCACACTTGAGCTTCAATTATATACTCCCTCCGTCCCCCATAGATCTTTCCAATAGCTCTTTTTCTTTGTTCACAATAGATCTTCTCATTTTATTTTTTAACAATTAAAATACCACAACTACCCCCACTTACTTTATTTATTACACCTCACCCACCTCATTTAATACACTCCACCCATTTTTCATTAAGGGTATTATGGTAAACTTTCACTTTTTTTCAACTCTCCTTAACAACCAACAATCAAAATGAGAACATCTTAGGGAGTATCTATCTCTACCGAACCCCTGCACCCGCCTGGATCACACTAGTTAAAGATCCACTAAACTCACAGACAGATCAGAGTTATATATATGTAGATAGAGAATTAAAATTATTCCCGAGGCTGCTGGTATATAGGTGTTTTATACAAAACAAAACAAGAAAAAAAGAGGATGGATTATAGTCTTGATGGAAGAGAGAATACAGAGGAAGATGAGAAGAAGATGATGAAGATTAAAGAAACAGAAATGATGAAGATAAAAGAAGAAGAAGAAGAAGATGGAGAAGAAGAAGAAGAGGTTCCAAAATACAGGGGAATCAAAGCCATGCCATTCATCATAGGGAATGAGACGTTCGAGAAGCTGGGTGCAATCGGGACGCTGTCGAACCTCCTCGTCTACCTCACCACCGTCTTCCACCTCACCCACATCTCCGCCGCCAACCTCCTCAACGTCTTCAACGGAACCACCAACTTCGCCACCATCCTCGGCGCCTTCATTTGCGACACCTACTTGGGCCGCTACACCACCCTCGCCCTCTCCACCCTCAACTCTTTCCTCGGGCTCTTGCTGATATCACTGACTGCTGCCATCAAGAAGCTGCACCCGCCGGCGTGCGGCGGCGGAGGGGAGTGCGCGAAGCCGACGACGGGGCAGATGGGGTTCCTCCTCTGCGGGTTCGCGATGTTGATCGTGGGGGCCGCCGGGATCCGGCCCTGCAACTTGGCGTTCGGGGCGGACCAGTTCAACCCGAAAACAGAGTCCGGGAAGAGGGGGATCAACAGCTTCTTCAACTGGTACTTCTTCACCCTCACCTTCGCCCAGATGGTGTCGGTGACCCTCGTCGTCTACATCCAGTCCGAGGTCAGCTGGTCCGTCGGACTCGGGATTCCGGCGGCGTTCATGTTCTTTTCCGGCGCTCTGTTCTTCTCCGGGGACAGAATGTACGTGAAGGTGAAGCCGGAGGGGAGCCCCCTCACCGGGATCGTCCAAGTCCTGGTGGTTGCCGCCAAGAATAGGAAGATGAAATTACCGGATCAGCCCTCCCTCTCTCTCTTTAATAATTACACTCCTGCCAAGTCACTCAATTCCAAGCTTCCTTACACAAGCCAGTTCAGGTAATTAAAATAAATTTACTCCCTTCTTCCTTCGTTGCACAATAATTTATCCATTTTGATTTTACACAAACTTTTAAAAATATTGATAAAATATTAAAAGATACATGAAACTCATGAGAGTAATTCAGTAATACTCTCTTCGTCCAAAAAATTCTTTTCCATTTTGACGTGACGCTAAGATTTAAACTAAGAAAATTTATGTAAATGAGACTTAAAAATATCATTTTTCCCTAAATAGGACCAGTTCTATCTACTCTCACACAGTGGCGGACCTAGGGGGGTCCGGCGGTGTCAACTGACACCGCTGAATTTTTAAAAAAACAGTACTAGGTATTGACAATAATTTTTTATATAATTAATAATAATAATACTTTTTATTCCATAATTATGTTATTTTGAATTATTTGAATATTTGAAAAATATTTATTACTTCATAATTTTTTGTCACTTTTTATTGTGTTTAAAAAATTAGCTAGTTATCTACCGGTGCTTTGTGTATTAACTTCAATATTTTCTACTGTTATCATTTTTATAATTAATAATAACGTCATTTAATTATTTTATTTTAATTATTTCAATATTAAAGATAAAATTTATCAGTTCGATACTTTATCATGCCTATATATTCCGCCTGAGAAGTTCTCGATCTTTTACTCTTGACACCGCTCATTGGGTAGTCTGGGTCCGCCACTGCTCTCACATTTGACAATGGAAAATTCCAATATGTCTTGCCTTTTAGAAAAAAATGACCAATTACACAATTTAAGAAGAATAATTTGAATAATCTGTCAAGGAACCAATTCAACCAGAAGCTCAAGCTTGTGGTTGTGGCCCAGGAACATTTATTTATATTCTAACACGCCCGCTCACGTGCATGCGTAGTCTTTTTCGAGCTTTGCATGAGAATAAAATATATTTAATCCTTTTCAGGGAAACATACTACTTTTTAGTCCTATATGAAGCAAATTTTTCTTCAAACAAATAAAAGTATAAAAACTTTTCACGTGTTGCCCTTGATGTAATAGAATGGGGAATTATGTGAGTTGTATAGATAAAAAATGAGGGTATCATAGCTCATTCATTAAAAAAATTGTTAAAATAAGAAACAAGAAGGACAATTTTAGATAGTGTAAAAGAAAAGTGAAAAAGAAATTAATAGAAAAATGATTTAATTTGGTGAAGTATTGTTAAATTTTAATTAAAAGTGTAGCCGACATGAAGAAGTGCATGGCATAATGCATTCATTTTCATGCACGGTAGAGTGATCCCACCACACTGACTTTGCATTATTCAACACTTATTATTACTCTATTTGGTGGTAGGCGGAAGCCAATTTTTAGCGAAGAAATTTGGTAGGTGAGGTGCGGACTAGAGTTTTGACTAAAACTCTAACGATATCTTAGCTTGCTCTCCCTCAAAATTGTTTCATTTTTAAAAATCTTTTCCTAGCTAGAGATTATTTCATATTGGCTATTCAAGAGTAAGATTAAATAAACAGTGTATAAGCTCTAAAGTCAAAATTAACTTGGTGGGGTATAATTGAAAGGGGGGAGGGGCGGGAATTGGAATCGTTAATTTTACGAACGGGGCACCATAACGCCTCTGGATCATCCCATGAGATTACCAGACAATGTCACATGAACCGCCCTGTAAATAGAAACATGCTAATAATAGAATTGAAGCCGACTAACAAACAAATACTACAATAATTCATACTCCGCACGATTATTATTATTATTGTGGTCTACTAAAAAAAGGTTATCTACTCGTCATAACTTTGTGATACCGACAGACGATAGAGCAAAGCACAGATAGAGAAAATCAAGTGAATATATGACTAAAAAAATAACGTTTTACGCAAATAAGATCTAGTAATTCTTGTGCACGAAAAGATTATACTGCTTTTACATAGTATTGATATTTCTACACAATCGCAAAGACAGTATGGACTGAATAACAACATCAATGCCATGTCATAGTAAATGACTCAGTGATTATCAATGAACAGATTTAGAAATAAAAAAAGGTAAAATGGGTAAAAAGAAATTGTCATGCTTCATATTTTAATCTCAATGGAGATAGTTTCCTCTAAATACTTTTCAATGATTAATTAATAAGATATTGAATTAAGAGAGGAGAGATTTGAATCAAATTCCAATCAAAACAAAGTGTGTCGTCTAGCGTCTCTTTGGTGGAGCCTTTGACACCCAACACCATTTGCGTCTTTAACTTGATGACAACAACAATGATAGAGGATATAGTCTCCATCTTGACGAGGTTCCATTTGCATAATAGTCTATATGGCTTTTAAAGACATGAATTAAGCCATTTGCCACTAGGATCATGATAAATTTTGTTTTTTATTGCCGGAATAGTTCAAATTAGATCAGCAATCTCCTTTATCTAAATTAAATCAATAGTTATGCACCGTTCCAACACATCTAAATTTAGAAATTTCTGGTGGATATATAATCTCACATCAGATACTCATACTAAAAATGATTAATACGAATATATCAAGATAAGAGTTACCGAGTATTTATCAAAAAATCTATCTAAACAAGATTAAAACATGAAAGATATGCCAAAACAAGATTTTCTATGTTTTTAACCCTAAATATGAGTATTGGTAATGTAGTAAACTGCAACTTGACATTGTGTATTAGTATATCACTGTGTTTAGTGGCATTATGTGCTTGCCAATAACCGCATTATAAATTTTATTTTGACATAAAAACATTAACACTATGTTTGGTTCAAGAAATTTGAATGGGAAAAGAAAAGAAAATGAATTAGAAAACAGTTTTTCTTGTTTGGTTAGAGAGAAAAAATGGAAGGAAAATAAAATAAGAGGCAAAATGTACTAAGTAGAGGGAAATCCAGATTCCTTCCATTTTGAAGAGGAAAATGAGAGAAAATCGTTTTCTTTTCTTTTCCTTGTCAAATTCCTTGAACCAAACCTAGCGTAAAGGTCCCCGAACATGTTTCAATCCTTATGCATTTCTTCAGTTGTCAAATAGTGAACAATTCCCTCTACCTTTTTTTGGGTGTCTTGTGTCTTGACTGCTCAAGCTGATGATGGTTGGATTCTGCAGGTTTCTTGACAAGGCGGCAATAGCCTGTGAAGATGACACAAAGAAAGCAGAAGATGGTGGTTGGGGGGGAGCCAATCCGTGGAGACTGTGCAGCCTGCAACAAGTGGAAGAGACCAAATGTGTGTTGAGAGTGGTCCCATTCTGGGCAGCCGCCATTCTGTACCATGTTGCCATGGCTCAGCAGCAGCAATATGTCGTCTTCCAAGCCCTCCAATCCGACCGGCACTTGGGACCCAACTTCCAAATCCCCGCCGCTACCTACACCATCTTCTCCATGCTCGCTCTCACTCTCTTCGTCCCCCTCTACGACCGATTCCTCGTCCCCTTCCTCAGAAGGTATGTTGTATAAGACCACCTTTCCTGTTTTTGGTTGAGTTGGTTCATTGACATGGCTGGTCTTGATCCACAGGTACACCAGAAAAGAAGAAGGCATCACTCTGCTGCAGAGGCTGGGAATCGGGATCGTGCTCTCCGTGCTGGCATCTTTTGTCTCTGCCTTTGTGGAGCAGCGCAGGAGGCGCGACGCGCATGCAAGTGGTGGCTCGATTTCTTCCATGTCAGCATTGTGGCTGGTCCCACAGCTGTCCCTGGCAGGGCTGTCGGAGGCGTTCACGTCCATTGGCCTGGTTGAGTTCTACTACAAGCAGTTCCCTGAGAACATGAAGAGCGTCGGTGGGTCGTTTTTCTTCTTGGGGATGGGCGCGTCGAGCTATCTAAACAGCTTCTTGATCTCCATTGTGCACCGGACCACGGAGAGTGCGAAAACGGGGAATTGGTTGCCAGAAGATCTCAACAAGGGGAGATTGGATTACTTCTATTTCCTGGTCACCGGCCTAGGGGTCATAAATATGGCGTATTTCCTCGCCTGTTCCAGCTGGTACCAATACAAGGAGGGGACCGGAGGGGAAATCAAAGAAACCGAAATGGAACCAAAGAGTGTTGAGAACAAACTTGCAGTTTGAGGTGAACAGCCAGGCCTACAAAACACACACACACATATACCTGCATTGCATTACTGAGGGATTCATATACTAAGAATTCTATATATTTTCTTATGGTTACACACACATATCATTTGTTTAGAATGTATGTCTAAGTTTCTTTTGTAAAACTATAGTTGTTCCTGTAGTTCTGTAGAATAGTAATGTTATATTCAGAGTATGGGAATGGCAACTGTAGTATGAAGTTGTAGTATATTCTGATATTCTTTGAATGAACTATACGAGAATACATACTCTTTCTACCCAAAAAAAAGTTGTCCACTAAAGACTAAACTAAGCTAATCTATCTGTATTTTCTAAACATCAACTCAAACTAGAGATGATGTCAAGAAAGGTAGCCTCGGGACAAGGAATTGTGAGTCCTCCCATCGGATGATCGAATCCGAATTCTTCCTCAGAGTGACTAAGCAAGTCTTGGAACGAAGAGTCCTTCAAGTATGATATTGGAAGGACAAACCGCTTCTTTTCACCCTCGCCTACATAAACTGCAAAGTGACCCTTAGGAACCTCGCTTTCTCTGTTTGTTTTTGAAGAAGACCTCCTGAGGCCTGTTTTAGTAGTCCGCAGAATTTTTGCCATGCTAACCGCCATGATTGAATGTTTCTTTTTTAGCTATAGGAACCACTTGGAGATGCAGATTGTTTTAGAAGATGAGTGAAGGAAGGTTATTGAGTTGTGAGAACTAACACCAAACTGAATTGTGGTTATATAGAGAAGTCTAATGTGAAGGGCTGCCAGCTTGCTAGATGAGAGACAATGACAACTGGTTTTGTCTTCCCCTAAACGTATTAAAAATCTTGAATTTTTACTAAACAAGCCAAATACGAGAACATGAACTGTCTTGAAACATCATTGCCCACATGGTTCAATGAATCTTGAATAGACGGAGATGGCTTAACCTCTTTTGTTTTCACAAGAAAGCCTACCAAATAGCTTGAATCAATGGTTGTTTTCACGGAGGTCTTCATGTAAATGATTGGCTCAGAGGGTATCGTTAAGAGGCTTAGATATTTCAAAAGACATAACCAGCCTTCTTTGCTAGACCTCTTGGAGACTTTCTCAGTTCTGCTAAAAAATGTCAGAAACAATACTGGAAAAGTTAAATGGCAGCTTTTTTGAAGCATCTCCGTATGGAATGATCACTTTCAGCTCTTAGCGAGGAGCAGTACAATATCCAATCCAATTCCTCATGAATTGCTTAGGAGGATTCTGAGATATAAGCTCTCAACAGATGTTAGTATCAGTATCTTCTCTGCCACTCCTAATGTTGAGTTTGGGGAAACTGCTCAAAAGAATTGGAGGTACTTTGCAGATTCATTGAGTCTTAAACCTAATAAACAAGGCATTATGCAGCTTCTTATATGTTGGTGGAGGAAACAATAGAAAATCAAGATTATTAAATCTTCATGCAAGATCAAGAATCCTCAAAGAACTGCTTTCCTCCTACAGTGGAGAAATTTACAGCTTTTGCTCAACCTAGAGAAGCACCAAATATCCACCACCGGGCATATCTTTATCGATGATACCATCATATTCACTGATAAGGAATTAAGGATATTTATCATGTCATTTGTCTAGTCATGCAAAAAGGTCTTTATTGGTGCATCATGATATAGTGGTAGAACCAAAGGAATTTCCTGCTCTTTCCCTTTTATTATTCGATAAATCCTATATATAGTGGTAGAAACTAGAAAGAGGGGTGGATAAATGTAGAGGATTGAAGGGTTGGAAACATATGTCTTCAGGAGAGTATCATTTTCTTTTTGAGTCACAAGGAGTACTTAAAAAATAAACTTATGTTGATGACTTAATGCTTCCATTGCTAGACGGTGGAAGTGTGGAACCCTTAAGTGGGTCACTTTTCCAACTACGCGGTTGATCGAAGGGGCTTTGTTGTCCCTCTATCTTATATCGCCAATGAGGTTGTTAGAGAACTACTCTTAAACATCTCTCAAGAAGAATGTGGACTTGAAAGTGATGTGCCTATGTAATGGAGTCTTCATGACCTATATCATTTCACTTTTCAGGTAGAGTGTATGAAGAGAGCCTGAGAACACGTTGCTTCTTTGAGCTACTTCATATTGGTGTTAATCACCTTCACTGCTAGAGAATTCGGGAATGGCTTTTTCCTTGCTGATATAGTATCTCAATCAGTTGAATGATCTAGATTATTACATCATAGGAAATGTACACAAAACTAAGATTTTTGGGGTCAAGATGCGTGCAGCCTTATCCCTGTGAAAAAACAGAGAAGTTTTTTTCCATTACACCCTCACACTTGTTGCATTGATGCATTTATAACCCAAAACATGATTGAATGTAAGAAGAAAAGACAGGTTAATGCCCCATTTTGATTAAGTCCATTTTTTATCCAAAGCTAAAACATTGTCAATAATGACTCTTAGCTCCATTTGAAATGGAAGCAAATGTAATAAAAATATCCTTAGCTGTCAAATTTTCCTTAATAACTGTTACAAGTTCTTCAGTTTACAGTTTTTTATATGTAAATATGCACAATACAATAATCATAATACATGTCCTATATGCTAATCTGGCTTCTTTCTGTAAGGTGAGCATTGAGGAGCATTGAGCTCAAGGCTTTAACATACAACTTCTGCATGAAGATCAGTTTTCTCTTTTACTATATAGAAAAATAATTTGTTGTCATTATCTAACTAATACTCCATATTTTCTAATCTCAGAATATCTTGTTACTCTGCCTATTCATAATAATTCCATAATTGTGAGTTTTCAGGTCTTTAGAATATTTATTTCTTGTCCTAAGTAACCTAAGTTGGATAGCCCCCCACTTCTGTCTGCTACCCGGATTTATGTACATTTACTGAGTATTATAGTTCTAATCTAAAATCAAAATGATATGGTAATAATAAAAAATTTATTTATTGTCTGCTAACCAATGAAATATAAATGTATAAAATTTCCAATCAGATATGGAAAAAAACACTGTACAGTGTACAAAAATACTTTTTTTCTGCAAATTGTTCTAATGACTATAAACTAAACTCTGTGATCTATCAAGATCTGCTCATAGTAGAGATGATGTCGAGGAAGGTCTCCTCCGGGCAAGGAATTGTAAGTCCACCCATCGGATGATCAAATCCAAATTCTTCTTCAGCTTGACTTAGCAAGTCTTGGAACGAATGGTCTTTCAAATATGAAATCGGAATGACAAAGCGCTTCTTCTCACCATCGCCTACATAAACTGCAAAGTGACCCTTAGGAATCTCGCCTTCTCTGTTTGTTCTTGAAGGAGACCTCCTGAAAGCTTTCTTAGGACGAAGAATGTGCCCCATACTGATTGCCATGTTCAAATGTTTCTGGAAGTGTTAATAGAAAAAGCTAAGCTAGAGAAACAACTTTCTGATTGCAGCAGAAACTGTGTTTGTTTAAAGAAGGAAGAAATCTCTTGGGTTGAGTAAAAACTGAAATGCGTTTATATAGATGTATGATCCTTCAGAGGTGGAATGGATGGTAAAGACGGACAAGTTTGGATGATGAAATGGCATCCAGCTTGCAAATATGATATTAGAATGGGAAAGCTCAACCACTAGTGTCACTCCCACATGCTTTGGTCTTCCAAAAAAGATTAATAATGTCTACTAACAGCTTTGTAGGTAAAGAACACCATTCCCCACTTGCTTCAATGTTATTGGGACAGCTCAACAGTTCAAGAAAACCTATCAAATGAGAGATGATGAAGATGGAGCAGTAAGTTAGCCCAAGTTTTTTTTTATTTTTATAAAGATTAAATCACTGTGCGGATTGGAAAAACAAAAGCATGTGATTCCTCATATACGTAGAACATGCTTTTGCCAAGAAATTCAAGCTGTCATAGCCTCTCAGTAAACATTTCAAATAGAAGCTAAAGGGACCCCTTCACTAGGAAGCATGTGGCCTAAAGATTGTCTTAGCCTTAGCATTTTAAAAAGATCACTTCCACATACATTTTCTGATTTCCATATTCAGACATTGTAAATCTGTAAATTAGATTTCCTACAGATCTTTTAATATATATGTACACCATATTAGAAGTGAAAACATCTGCTTTCAAACTGATTTTGAGACAGCCAAGAATGGAAATGATATGAAATCATTGAACTTTTCTCATCAACTACAGGAGTACAGGTTGGTCCTTAAAAATGGCTTGACATTAGTGAAAATATAAGGCTCTGTTTGGTACACGTTATTCAAACTATGGAATTGGAATTGGGAACAACAATTCCAATTCTGTTGTTTGGTAGCACAAAAATATGTGGATTTGGAATTGGTAGTGCCAAAAATGAATTGTAATTGGAGAATCCAATTCCATCCAAATCAATTATATAGAATTTCAACTCCCAATTCAATTCCAATTCCGTCATAGTATAGTTCCGAAATTCAATTAAAAGCATATGTTGTATTTAAATAACTGTTCCAAGAATATTCACTCATTGTGACAGAACCAGCCCTCTCATGACTTAAAAGGCTCTCATATATGTGACATACTGACACCGGACCAGCTTCAAAGCTCATATTTATTGCTTTGCAAGAAATGTTAAGGATTCTTCTGGCATATTTAGCATTGGAATGGATTAAAGGGACATTTTTGTTCATATAAATGTATTAGCAATCAAGTTTGTAGTTGACTAATATATTCCACGCTCAAGACATAAATTACAAGAGAGTTTTACATCTCTTCAGTTATTGTTGCGTACTTACTGTTAGTAACAAGACGAATAAGAAAAAGCTCGAAAGAAAAATGGCAGCTGTTGTATGAAGTTGTAGTATATTCTGATATTCTTTTAATGAACTTTACAAGAATACATACTCTTTCCACCCAAAAAATTGTCCACTAAAGCCTAAACTAAGCTAATCTATCTGTATATTCTAAAGATCAACTCAAACTAGAGATGATGTCAAGGAAGGTAGCCTCGGGACAAGGAATTGTGAGTCCTCCCATTGGATGATCAAATCCGAATTCTTCCTCGGACTGACTAAGCAAGTCTTGGAACGAAGAGTCCTTCAAGTATGATATCGGAAGGACAAAACGCTTCTTTTCACCCTCGCCTACATAAACTGCAAAGTGACCCTTAAGAACCTCGCTTTCTCTGTTTGTTCTTGAAGAAGACCTCCTGAGGCTTGTTTTAGTAGTCCGCAGAATTTTTGCCATACTCACGGCCATGATCAAAGGTATAGAAAGCACTTGGAGATGCAGATTGTTTTAGGAGTTGAGTGAAGGTAGGTTATTGAGTGGTGAGAACTAACACCATACTGAATCGGGGTTATATAGAAAGGTCTGCCAGCTTGAGTGGCTTAGAGCAATGCACATAGATAGGCTGCCAGCTTGCAAGATAAGAGACATCAACAACTGGTTGTCTTTAAACATCATTCCCCACATTCTTCAATGAATCTTGATTAGATAAAGATTGCTTAACCACTTCTGTCTCTACAAGAAAGCCTACCAATTAGCTTGAATCAATGGATATCTAAACCAGTTAGGCCGAATCACTTGATTAATGGGAAACAAAACATGTGAGTTCACATTATATGTTTTAGTACATGGAAAAACTCCAGAATACATAGGTGTTTGATTGAAGCGGAAAGAGGCCCCACCAACCAGTAGGTGGCACATGGGGTTGCCTATTTCCTCAAGAGCTTAAATAGATCACTTCCAAATGCATTTTCATCATCAAACACAACAAACATATCCAGTCCAGCCAAGATCCAAGGTTCTCTTTCATTCAAAATCTCTCTATTTCTTAACTTAAACACGATGGTCAGTTCCAAGAAGCTCATGAATTTGGCAAAAAGATGGCAGAAGTTTGCTGCCATCAGAAGAAAAAGGATTCCACTTCCAATTCTAAATGAGAAAGCAGATAGCTGTAGTAGTTCCGCAGCAGTGGACAAGGGCCACTTTGCCCTCTACACAGCTGATCACGAGCGCTTTGTTGTCCCTCTATCTTATCTTGAGAATGAGATTATTAGGCAACTCTTGAACTTGTCTGAAGAAGAATTTGGACTTCCAAGTGATGGGCCTATTACACTACCATGTGATGCAGTTTTCCTGAACTACATCATTTCGCTTCTTAGCAGAGGTTTATCCAGAGAACTCCAGGATGCATTGCTCTTCTCAATCACTCCGAATCAGTGCTCATCAGCTTCACTGCATCAAGAAAAATGGAAAAAACAGGAAATGCTAGTTTGCTGATTTTTTGTAGTTTACTGTCAACAAATTTTGTAGCCTATATTAACTCTACTGAAATGTAAAGAGAGCCAACGACTTGAAATTTTAATATACACACAGCAAAATTTGTGAAAATTAAAGTATGTTCATAGCTTTACCCATTCTTGATGTTTCTGTTTCTATTTATTCGATAGTGTCAGGAAGCACTCCATCATTTAACTGTAAATCGAGTTTATTTGGCAACAAGATTGTGTGGGCAGTTCTCTGACAATCCAAGATTAATCATTCCTTGAACTTCTTCAGCATAAAATCTGAACTTTTTTCTCTGGCCAACATAAACTACAACTTCAAAGTATCCATTGGGAACTCCACATTCTATGTTTGATCCTGAAAATAATTCCAGGCCTTTGCTTAGCACAGAATGTTTTCACCATACTACGATATATACCCTTCCTCTTGATATAAAGAACACAATAATCAGGAAGAATATCATGTCTTTAAAACTTGTCTTAAATAGATCACTTTCATATGCATTTTCATTATCTAAATTACAATGCAATTCAGTTTAGCAGTTTTTCTGTAGATCTTGTTATGTCCAATTCAGACTCTCCCTTTCCCAAGGTATTACATCATTGTTAGTTCTGAAAAGCTCGTCAAGCTTGCAAAAGAATGACAGAAATTTGTTGACATCAGAAGAAAGATGACTTTATTAACAAGACTAAATGATGATGGTGCAAGCTGCAGTACTTCATCAGCAGTTCACAAGGGTCACTTTTCCAGTTAAGCGGTTGATCGGAAGCACTTTATTGTCCCTCTATCTTATCTCAGCAATGAGCCAGGTTATTAGGATCCCTTAAACATCTCTCATGAAGGATGTGGGCTTGAAAGTGATGGGCCCACTACACTACTATGCAATGCAGTTTTCATGTACTATATGCAGCCTTGGCCCTGTGAAAAAACAGGGAAGCTTTTTCCATTAGACCCTCACCCTTGATGCGTTGATGCATTGATGCATTTATAACCCAAAACTTGATTGAATGTAAGAAGCAAAGACAGGTTAATGCCCCATTTGATCAACTCCATTATACTCTCAATAATAACTTTTAGCTCCATTAGAAATCGACACAAGAGTAAAAATATATCCTTAGCTTTCAAATTCTCATTAAGATTTTGTTACAAGTTCTTAGGTTAATAGTTTTTTATATGTAAATATGAGAAAGACAACAATAGTTTTTTGCCTCTATCTGTAGTCAGCTACCAAGAATAGGTAGAGGGCTGAGGTATACTGAACTCAACCAACTGATCCAACCACCAAGAACAACCACTTCAATTTTCTTTCATTTGCAAAATTGCATGTCCTGCATTGCTGGCATCTTTCTGCACTGGGACGGTACTGAGGAACTTTCAGCTTAAGGGTAAAACATACTTCTATGAAAATCAGTTTCCTGCTAATCTCAGAATATCTAGCTACTCATTATAATTCCATAATTGTGATTATTCAGGTCTTTAGGAAAATTATTTCTTGTCCTAAAAAGGATCCCCCCCCCCGGCCCCTCCCACTTATGTCTGCTATCCAGATTTAAATTTACTGCGTATTATGGTTCTGGTCTAAAATCGAAATGATATGGTAACCAAGAATAAGAGTAATTACTCCAATCAATGAAATATAAATGTATAAAATTTCCATTCACATATGGAAAAAACACTGTACAAGAATATTTTTTGCTGCAAAATTGTTCTAGTGACTACAAACTAAACTCTGTGATATCTATCAAGATCTGCTCATACTAGAGATGATGTCGAGGAAGGTGTCCTCCGGACAAGGAATTGTAAGTCCACCCATCGGATGATCAAATCCAAATTCCTCTTCAGCTTGACTTAGCATGTCTTGGAACGAATGGTCTTTCAAATATGAAATTGGAATGACAAAGCGCTTCTTCTCACTATCGCCTACATAAACTGCAAAGTGACCCTTAGGGATCTCGCTTTCTCTGTTTGTTCTTGAAGAAGACCTTCTGAAACCTTGCTTAGGACGGAGAATGTGCCCCATAGTGATTGCCATGTTCAAATGTTTCTAGAAGTGTCAATAGAAAAAGCTAAGCTAGAGAAACAACTTTGTGATTGCAGATATTGTATTTTTCAAAGGAAGAGAGCTCTTAAGTTGAGTGGGGTGAATAACAACTGAAATGTGTTTATATAGATATATGATCCTTTAAATGTGGATTGAATGGTAAAGAGAAGTTTGGATGAGATGGCATCCACCTTGCATATACGATATGAGAATGGGATAGGTCAACCACCAGTGTCATTGCCACATGCTTAGGTCTTCCAAAAATTGGTCAATAATGTCTACTATCAGTTTTGTAGGTAAAGAACATCATTCCCCACTAGTTTCATTGTAAATGGGATAGCTCAACCACTCAAACTTATTTTTAAAATGAAATAAATAAGTGGCTGCCAGCCACTGGCTGCCATTTTTTTTTTCTGTTTTACAAGTGCGTGCTTATGTTAATTAAAAAAAAGTTGTTCAAATGTGAGCAACAAGCATTCATTATATAATTGCCCAAGTCAATTTGTGTACAAAAAACAATTCCTCTTTCCACCCTAGCCTATCATAAGTATGCCAAAATAATTACCCGAAGGATAATGTAATCTAACGCAACTTATGAGCATGGCATCATAACAAAAATGTGTGGGCTGTTTTCCAAATAATTAATTTGTTCTGAACTCTTCTTTTCCTTTAGTGCACATAATTTATCTTTTATGTTCTTAAAGAAATGAAACACATGCACTCACACAAGACACAACTTGTTAGTGTTTTACCTTCATCTAGAGAAATTATGATATTCATATTAAATCCAAGACTTTCAATTCAAAGTCCATTAACTTAGAGGTTCATACAAATCCATTAGAAGTTTCAATCACTTTGGCACTTCAGACAAATTCTAAACCTTAAATACATTTCCTTTGCTCTCTAATCACACTAAGATAGCCATGAATCCATGATACTCTTCAAATCTTTAGAATAACCATATTTTCCTATCTTAAAATGTTAACTGATGTTCAGACTTCAGACTTCTTTTCCTACCACTTGAAATGTTTCAAGATAACTAATAAATATGGAGTAAATAGAAAAGATCTGACTATAAATTTATATTTCCAATCTGATCAGGATAACAAAGAACATTGTACAAGAGTACTTTTCTTTGCAAAAAATAAAATATAAAAAATCATCTACTGACTATAAAGAAAGATCTATGTACAGCAGGCCTGCAGTCTATCAAGATCTGCTCATATCCTCATACTAGAGATTATGTCAAGGAATGTCTCTTCCATACAAGGTATTGTGAGTCCACCCATCGGATGATCAAATCCAAATTCTTCTTCAGCTTGACTTAGCAAGTCTTGGAATGAATGGTCTTTCAAGTATGATATCGGAATGACAAAGCGCTTCTTGTTGTCGCCTACATAAACTGCAAGGTGTCCCTTAGGAATCTCACTTTCTCTGTTTGTTCTTGAAGAAGACCTCCTGAGTCCTAGCTTAGGACGGAGAACGTGCCCCATACTGATAGCCATGTTCAAATGTTTCTGGAAGTGTTAAAAAAAGAAGCTAAAAAGCTAGAGAGACTTGTGAGTGCAGAAACTGTGGTTTAAGGAAGCCCTTGAGTTGAGTGGGGTGAGTAACAACTGATATGCGTTTATATAGATCTGATCCTTTAGGAGGTGGAATGAGTGGTTAAGAAAAGTTTGAATGGGAGGGCACCCAGCTTGCATATAAAATATGAGAATGAGAGAGCTCAACCACTTGTGTCATTACCACATGCTTTGGTCTTCTATAGAGGACCAATAATGTCTACTACCAGCTTTGTAGGTAAAGAACAGCATTCCCCACTTGCTTCAATGAACTGGGATAGCTCAACCAATCAAAATAGCCAAAAAAAACTGTGAGCTGTCATAGCCTCTTAAACCCTTAAAATAAAAGTTCTAAGGCCCCTAGGTTCCCTACAGCTTAGAGGCACATGGTTTAGGGATTGTCTATGTCCCAGCACATAAAATAGATCTCTTCCACATTTATATATCATCAAATACTGTAATTCTATAAAGCATATTTCATATGGATTTTGTTTTGTTCCATTTAGCCTCTCTGTATTTCCTAATGTTACAATATCATGATCAGTTCCAAGAAGCATGTCAAGCTTGCAAGAGTATGGCAGGGGTTTGCTTCCATAAAAAGAAAGAGAATTTCATTTCCAAGACTAAATGACTATGCAAATAGCTGCATTACTTCATCTATAGTTAGAAAGGATCATTCTGATATCTATACTGCTGATCATAAGAGGGCTGTTGTCCATCTATCTTATCTTAAAAATTGAGATTATAAGGCAACTCTCAAACCAGTCCACTACACTATTATCATGTGACTCGGTGTTCATGGGCTTCATTCTTTCACTTCTTAGCTGATGTTTATCCATGGAACTCGAGAATGCAATACTAGTTTTGGTTTCTACATACCGTTGTTCATCATATTCACTGCACCAAGATGGTTGGCGAAATCATGAAGTGTAAGTTTGATGATTCAAAAAATTAAATTATTTTTTCTTTTCAAATGTAGCACTGTGTATATCATATTAAATGCACAGATAATACGAGACTTCATAGTCAATATATTAGTAATCTTCTTAAGAGTTACTCCCTTCATCGTGATTTAGTTGTCTACTTTCGAAAAAAATATCAAATAAAAAAATGAGTTTAAAATATCAAATAAGTCCTTCAAATGAGTAATTCACCCATTCATGTCAAGAATGTCAATACCATTTTTCTAGGACATTTTAGACAGTTCAGCATAATTTCTATATTGGATATGAAAAGTTGGCAACAAATTCCAGACAAGCGTAAACAGGAAAGTGGAGAACTAAACCCAGCAAGAGGGAGAACATTCCATTCATAGCTTTCAGATTCTCCTTAGATTGGATACTTGGATGTAAGCAACAATCATCAATTCTCAAATTGCCTAGTTGAATTTGAGGCAATTATATTTTTCTTAATCAACCGTAGCCTAGCATCTCCTCTATGCCAAAAACATTACTAGAAGGGGTAATGTAATATTGGCCAAGTGATGAGATAGCAACTTAGCAAGTCTTGTTATCTCAAATTATAAACAGCATATAGATTTTGTAATCAATAAATCATTTGCAAGCTTCATTTTATTTCATATGTTAACAGGAAAGTAAATTAAATGTAGATCAGCAAAACTTCATGACTAAATGAGGAGTTTTTTTCCTTCAAAAATATTTCCTTTTTCTAAACTCACAATTTTGTGGAAAAAATGAAACACTATATACCTTCCGTGGCTTAGCTCCGTAATCACAAATTCTATATTCACTAGTGTCGTGAACAAGACTCGCAATACCTCGGACCCTTGAGATCTTGAATAGGTAACAAATATTCAAATCTTCAAATAGGTTAAACAAATTGGAAAGAGAAGGTAAAAAAGAACCAAAATAGGAGTTCCATTTTCATCTCCAAAATATGAGTTTGCACTGTGACATTATGGCATTGTATAGTGGCATCCCACTGTACTTTTGGTATTATATATTGACATTATTGGCATTGTACTCCTATTTTGGGGATAAAAAACTCGGAGCTCCAACTTTGGTATTTTCTCAATGCTTTACTCCTAGTTTAGTCTTTTTTCCAAGATAAAAATGGTTTTTTTTCCAAAAGAATTTTTTTTCTTATTTTTCTTTTCCTCTCTAACTTAAAAAGAAGTTATTTTACATCTAATTTTCTTTTCTTTTCTATTTTAAATTCTTTGAACAAAATATAAGAAGTGTTTCTTTGAAACCAAATATATTGGGGTGTTTCTCTGTGGTGGTGTTTATTGCCTTATTGTTGATAAGCAATTTTTAACTTATAAGTTGCTTATAACTTAAATATTCTTTCGTAAAAGTAAAATGACTTAAATCAAATATAAATCATAATAAATCATTTGGGGTACCATGAAATAAAGAAAAATGAATCTCTAAACTATCTATGCTTCTTTAAATAATGAAGTAGCAGTTAGTCAATCAATGGAACTTTCGACGTTGAGCAGGGGGTCTCTTTGGAAACAACCTCTCTACTTTCAAGTAGGGGTAAAGTCTGCGTACACACACCCTCCCCACACCCTACGCTTGTGGGATTCAACATAGTGGTTGTTGTTGCTGTTGTTGGGGATATTCATAAAAGGTGATGGATAGTTTTGCAAATAATATGGTAAAAAAGGAGACATAAATCATTTGGGGATATCCACTTGAAATGTTTCAAGATAAATAATAAATATGGAGTATATAAAAAACGAGCATTTATATAAAGTTATATTTCCAATCTGATCAGGATAACAAAGAACATTGTACAAGAGTACTTTTCTTTGCAAACAATAATATAAAAAGTCATCTACTGACTAAAAAGAATAATCTATGTACTGCAGTCTATCAAGATCTGCTCATATCCTCATAGTAGAGATTATGTCAAGAAAGGTTTCTTCCATACAGGGTATTGTGAGTCCACCCATCGGATGATCAAATCCAAATTCTTCTTCAGCTTGACTTAGCAAGTCTTGGAATGAATGGTCTTTCAAGTATGATATCGGAATGACAAAGCGCTTCTTGTTGTCGCCTACATAAACTGCAAGGTGTCCCTTAGGAACCTCACTTTCTCTGTTTGTTCTTGAAGAAGACCTCCTGAGTCCTAGCTTAGGACGGAGAACGTGCCCCATACTGATAGCCATGTTCAAATGTTTCTGGAAGGGTTAAAAAAAGAAGCTAATAAGCTAGAGAGACTTGTGAGTGCAGAAACTGTGGTTTAAGGAAGCCCTTGAGTTGAGTGGGGTGAGAAACAACTGATATGCGTTTATATAGATCTGATCCTTAAGGAGGTGGAATGAGTGGTTAAGAAAAGTTTGAGTGGGAGGGCACCCAGCTTGCATATAAAATATGAGAATGAGAGAGCTCAACCACTTGTGTCATTACCACATGTTTTGGTCTTCTATAGAGGATCAATAATGTCTACTACCAGCTTTGTTGGTAAAGAACAGCATTCCCCACTTGCTTCAATGAACTGGGATAGCTCAACCAACCAAAAACGCCTAAAAAACTTTGAGCTGTCAGAGCCTCTCAAACAGTTCAAATAAAAGTTCTAAGGCCCCTAGGTTCCCTAAAGCTTGGAGGCACATGGTTTAAGGATTGTCCAAGTCCCGGCACTTAAAAAAGATCTCTCTCACATACATTTTTATTATCAAACGCTGTAATTCTATAGAGCATATTTTATATGGATTTTGTTCTGTTCCATTTAGACTCTCTGTATTTCCTAATGTTACAATGTCATGATCTGTTCCAAGAAGCACGTCAAGCTTGCAAAAAGATGAGATTATAAGGCAACTCCCAAACCTGTATTATCAAGTGAGTTGGTCTTCATGAGCTCCATTGTTTCACTTCTTAGCTGATGCTTATCCACGGAACTCGAGAATGCAATACTAGTTTCGGTTTCAACATACCATTGTTCATCACATTCACTGCACCAAGACAGATGGAGAAATCACAAAGTGCTAGTTTACTGATTCCAAAAATTATTTTTTCTTTTCAAATGTAGCACTGTGTACATCATACTAAATGCACAGATAATACGAGACTTCATAGTCAATATATTAGTAATCCTCTTAAAAATTATTCCCTTCATCGTGATTTAGTTGTCTACTTTCGAAAAAAATATCAAATAAAAAAATGAGTTTAAAATACATAAAAAGACCTTCAGATGAATATTTCACTCGTTCAAGTCAAGAATGTCCATACCATTTTTCTAGGACATTTTAGACAGTTCACCATAATTTCTTTATTGGATATGAAAAGTAGTCAACTAATTCCATACAAACGAACATAAGAAAGTGGATAATTAAACCCAGACAGAGGGAGAACACCACATTCATAGCTTTCAGATTCTCCTTAGGTTGGATACTCCTTAGGTTGCAACAAGCATTCAATTCTCAAATTGCCTAGTTGAATTTGAGGCAATTAGATTTTTCTTAATCAACCAAAACATCAATAGAATGGGTAATGTAATATTGGCCAAGTGATGAGATTTTGTAAGCAGTATATAGATTTTGTAACCAATAAATCATTTGCAAGATTCATTTTGTTTCATATGTTAACAGAAAATCGAATTAAGTGTAGATCAGCACCACTTGATTAATAAATGACAAGTTTTTTTTCTTCAAAAATCGTTCTTTTTTTCTTAACTCGCAATTTTGTAGGAAAAAAATGAAACATCTGGGAAAATATATTTACCTTCCGTGCTTTAGCTGCGTGTGATGAAGATACGGGATATATTCTACTGCTAAATCACAGATGCTATAATCAATATTCTGGGGAACACGACTCAGACTAGTTCGGAGCCCTGAGTTCTTGAATGGGTATCAAATCCGACCCGGACTCCTTCTTAGTACTTTATTTTTCTCTTTAACCAAATAAAAAATTTATTCTTTATCTCAATTTTTTTCTTTGAAGTAAAACATGGTGTAATTGTTAAGCAAATTTCGTAAGTTTTTAATGAGTTAATTTCCAAAACGGTCATCTCTAATAATGTATTTTTCAATATCGGTATTCAATAAGTTTTAATAACCTACGTGATCCTCTATAATTGAAATTTATTCTCTAGATAATCCTTTGTAAATAATTTTTTTTATTTGATGATTAATTCAGGTGTATTTTGGTATTATTTTATCAGCTAAATTTAGAATTTAATTTTTTAAATGATCATTTCTAATGAAATGCTTTCCCAATATGGTTTTTTCTAATTAAATATGTATATTTGATTCGAATTTTAAAAGATTTTTTTATAGGTTTTTAATAATTAATGGATTATGTATAGTCAATGTATTTTTTAATTTTACATTTGATTCTATAGAAATTATCATTTGGATGATATACTTTAAATTTGGATGATAGAAATATCAATATACCCTTTAATTAATCATCATTTGAATAACATTAATTACGAAAGACTACTTGAGGAATAAATCTCAATTATAAAGACCACATAAGTAATTAGAGCTCATTGAAGACTAAATTAGGAAAATACCTTATTACAGAGGGTTCTTTTAAGAATGTACCCATTTTTAACTTAAGGGTTGGCCCGTCAAAAATGAAGACCTGCAACTTAAGAGCGGGCTCGAACTTTATGTTCAAAATCGGGTTCGTGCTAATATAATAATCATAATAATAGAAATCATACCAATAACTACTATAAGAACAACAACAATAATTTTTTGTAATATTTATTAACTCGTACCTAGTAAATATTATTTTATTTACTACGTACAAATTTGGGACATGTCTGGTCATTAAGAGTCTTGTCGGTTTAACTTATCACTTATTTTTATTAAAATCAAATGAAATCAGATTTAATTAAATTAGATCAAATCTAAGACATGTTTGGGGATAGCGTTAATGTTTTGAAAATGTTATCTACGAGCAATGTTTAGCGTTATCGTTTTCAAAGTAATATATACCATTAAAATTTAATCCAAAATGCTAACACTAATCGAAAACGTTAATCTCAAACGAGTTAATCAGATTTAAACATATAACTATAATCAGATTAGATTCAATCCCACTTTGTTTGTTGTATATTTGTCGAGCAATGCTAGGGGTACACCATTTGGGGTACCCCAAATGTACACCACCCTCTTTTCCTCCACACATTTTTATTTGATTTTTATTTACTTATTTTTTTTGAATTTTTTTGCCTTTTTTATTGCACAAAGAGGGGGTGAGGGACATTTGGGGTACACCAAAGGTGTACCCTAACATTTTTCATATTTGTCACATGTAACACTAATCAAATGTTTTTTTTTTTGATAGCACTAATCAAATGTTAAGAGGTACGAAAAAGAATTACGGTACTCCGTATGAAAACTAGATACGGTCTTTTAGGGTAGAATATACAGTACATAGTCCTCCATAGAAGAAATACTCCGTACTAAAATTCACTCAGTGTGCGGGAGTCGCCCATACAGAGGAGAGTCCATGCCCCGAGTAACTTGGAGAATCAGTAAGCCACCGGCATGTAGAGGAGACTCCCAATTTCACTATACAGCCGCCGTCCTTTCTTTTCTTTCTCCTTTCAATTTCTAATCCGGCCATTTTCGCCGCCATTCTTCACACACATTTTTCTCCAGGTATTACTACTTCGCTTTTTGGACTCTTCTCTTTTGACTTGGGTATAGTTTTTAATTTTATTTTTTTTAATGCTGTAGCATTTTAGCCACAGATGTTTCGAGTTTATTGCCTCTGGGCTGTCTTGATTTTATGAAATTATTGCGACGGATGTCATGGTTTTTTTTAATAGTCTTGTTAGTGTTTATGCTTTGATTCTTCTCGATCTTTTCCTGAACAGTCAAAAAATGTTCTTTTTTAAAATCTTTTTCGGGTGTTGAAATGGTGTTGGCTATAAGCTGTGCCATCCTTTTCTCGGATTTATTATCGTTCCTGCAAATTTGAATGTGGCATGTTTTCTGGGTTTCAGTGGGCGGGATTCGATGAAAGATTAGCACTATGTTTGGCTTAAGGATTTTGGAAGGAAAAGAAAAGAAAATAGTTTTCTCTCATTTTCCTCACCAAAATGGAAGGAATTTGATTTTCCCTCCACTTGGTACATTTTGCCTTCTCTTTTTCTTTTCCTTCCACTTTTCCTTTCTTTTCCCCTCTAACCAAACAAGAAAAATAGTTTTCCATTTCATTTTCTTTTCTTTTCCCTTTCAAATTCCTTGAACCAAACATAGTGTAGAGCTTTTTCTGTTTTGTAATTCAAAAAGTTACCATCTCTTATGGTTCATTGGTTTTGGCAAAGACCATAGCTTTGTGTATTTTAAGGAAACCAGAAATGTAATGGTTGCAGTTTTGTGTTCCAAGGGAATGGGAAGTTTATCTGATTATATTAAAGTGAGCTGTAGGTTTGATCATTCTCTGCCTAGAAATCCAAATGCTGTTGTTTAACACTACTATCTCCTCTGCTGTTGTGCCGCATGTTTCTATATGGAGAGTACATGTTTGTATATCATTCAAACAATGTTAATACTTATAGAAGCAAAAATTAAAGGAGCGGTAGTGGAGCACTGTGTTTATGAGATTAATGTCGTAAAATTCTTGTTTTCTCGGGTTAACACTATCCTTTTCAGCTTCACTTCAGCCTAATAAGAAGTAGAAGTAAGGTTTGCATGCATCTCCCACCCTAGACCCTACTTTCAAGTGGGGGTATACTGGATTTGTTTGGCTTTCACTTCATCGCGTGTCTGGTGAAAACTTGTTAAGTACGATTTTCATCCGATTTTCACCTCATGTTCTTTATCTAACTGATAAATTAAGTTGGCTTTGTTGCCTCCAAGCTGTCTAAGGTTGCCTGGTTAAGCTTCAAAATTGTTGCTTCTTGAAGTGTCAGATCATCTTTTCACGTGGCTGGCTCTATCATTAACTGTGAAGCGCTTAAATCTAATACAGAGTAGATAAATATGTCTTCGCATTTTCTTTTTATTTGCAGAAAATGATACGTGCAAAGCAAATTGGGACATTATCCCAGTCTGCTAGGTCCCTCATCTTAAACGGATCAAGATCGGGTGCAGCAGACGGTTCATGTGCTTGTTCGGAAGACGACACGTGCGCTTCAAGAAGGATTCAAACGAAGAAGGATGCTGAGCGTCGAGAAGCCTCTTCGTCTACATTTACAAAGCCTACAGGTGGAGTAGATTCCTCTATTTCAAGAGATGCCATAAAAGCCTTGAGCTCCCAGAAGAATGAGAAGCGTGAATATTCGGTTTCTCAGCCAAAAGTTGCACCTTATTCGAACCCATCAAAGAGAGCAGATTGTGTTTGTAGTTATGGGAGCTTGGAAGCTTCAGACGGATTGCATTCATCGCCTCCCATTTCTGACCAGTTCGTTAGGGCAGGTATTGCAGCGGTCAATTTTTTATCAGATTTGGTACATTATAAAATCCCAATGTCAGATGGCACAATTAAATCATCGCCAGATTGCATTGTTGAGCACACCGAGCCTTTTTCTACACTAAAGCCCTCCTCAACTGCAAAATCTTTTGGTAAAGATTATGCGAAAACCCCACCTGCTGTAACTTCAAGTCCTTCTGCAAATAGTTGCAGCGGCACACCAGGCAGAGGTTCAGAATGCAATTCTGTTACGAATGATGGAACGGCTGTTGATGTCGATACACATGACAAAAGGAGGACATTGTGTGCAAACTCTAGACCATATTATTCAACATGTGATGATCAGGCTTCAAATGGAGAGCTTATAATAAAGGAAAGGCCAAAAGGGTTGTCTCTTCGGGAGACAAAGAATGGTCATCATACTGTAGATACGGTTTCTCGCGTCTTACAACAACATATGCATTGGGGCCCAGAGACAGAAGACGCTCTTTCTAAACTCAACCGCCCACTTGATGCCTATCAAGCAAACCAAGTTCTCAAGCGGCTCCAAAACCATGCGCTTGCACTCAACTATTTCTATTGGTTGAAATGCCAACCAGGGTTCAAACACGACGAGCACACCTACACGACCATGGTTGGCATCCTTGGGCGAGCCAAGCAATTCGGGGCGATAAACAGATTGATCAGCCAGATGGTGGCTGAAGGGTGTCAACCGAACGTGGTGACGTATAACCGGATCATCCATAGCTATGGACGGGCGAACTACTTGAACGAATCGTTGCGCGTGTTCAACCGAATGCAGGAAGAAGGGTGTGAGCCTGACCGTGTTACCTATTGTACCCTCATTGACCTCCACGCGAAGGCCGGATATCTTGATGTAGCCATGGACATGTATCAGAGGATGCAAGAAGCCGGGCTGTCTCCTGACACCTTCACTTACAGTGTCATCATCAACTGTCTTGGGAAAGCGGGTCATTTGGTCACGGCTCATAAGCTGTTCTGTGAGATGGTCAACCAAGGGTGTGTCCCAAACCTGGTGACTTACAACATCATGATCGCCTTGCATTCCAAGGCAAGGAACTATTCTCATGCACTCCAGCTTTACCGCGACATGCAGGAAGCCGGGTTTCAACCAGACAAGGTGACTTACAGCATTATAATGGAGGTTTTCGGGCACTGCGGGTATCTACATGAAGCCGAGGAGGTGTTCATGGAGATGACGAGGAATAACTGGGCGCCCGACGAGCCCGTGTACGGTCTTCTGGTCGATCTTTGGGGAAAAGCGGGCAACGTGAAGAAGGCATGGGAGTGGTATCACGCCATGCTCCGCGCAGGTTTACGCCCCAATGTCCCCACCTGCAACTCTCTGTTAAGCACTTTCCTCAGGGTGCACCAATTGCCAGATGCCTATAACCTGCTCCAAAGCATGATCACCCTAGGGCTAAACCCGTCTTTGCAGACCTACACATTGCTCCTCAGTTGCTGCACCGAAGCCCGAGCGTCGTCGTCTGCGAAGGGATTCTGTTGTGAGCTCATGGCGGTGACGCGCCACCCGGCCCACGCCTTCCTGCTGACCATGCCGTCTTCGGGACCCGACGGGCAGAACGTGCGGGACCACGTCACCCGTTTCTTGGACTTCATGCACAGCGAGGACCGGGAGAGCAAGAGGGGGCTCGTGGACGCCGTCGTCGACTTCCTGCACAAATCCGGACTCAAGGAGGAGGCGGGGTCCGTGTGGGAGGTGGCGGCGACGAGGAACATATACCCGGACGCGGTGAGGGAGAAGAGCTCGTGCTACTGGCTCATCAACCTCCACGTCATGTCGGACGGGACCGCCGTCACGGCGCTGTCGAGGACGCTGGCGTGGTTCCGGCGGCGGATACTGGTGCTGGGCATCCGCCCGAGCCGGATCGACATAGTGACGGGGTGGGGGCGGAGGAGCAAGGTGACGGGGACGTCGCTGGTGAGGCAAGCGGTGCAGGAGTTGCTAGACGTGTTTGGTTTTCCGTTGATCAAGGAGAAGGGGAACTCTGGGTGTTTTGTGGGGTACGGTGAGGCCCTTAACACATGGTTGCTCCACCCTTACGTTGAGCGAATGCATTTGCTGTAGTATAATCACGAATTAACCACGCCAAAATGGGCTACCCATTTTTACACGAAGTCTTCACACACACAGATATGCACGTATCTCTGTGTCTGTAAGAATTTGGTGTACAAATGGAGTACCCATTTTAATATACTCCTTGCCTTGCATTGCCTTGTAATCATTCCATAGCACTTGTTATTTTGACACTTGGAATTCAAACATTCTACAATGCTCTCGAAACCTCTAAATTGGTTGACATTTTGTTAACCAGAATGTTAACCAATTTAGAGGGTTTGATTGGGGCATGCGACTGGGATGGCGGTTAGGGGCATGAATCATTTTGAGGTCGAACAATTGGCGTGTCATGTTAATTTCTTATGCATTTCTAGAGTGGAAAAGTATTAATATCTCGTGCATGCCTTTCTGCATCAACAAGTAATTTATGCATTTCAAGACTCAAAAAGTATATTTCAATACGAGTTGTAAGTATGATTATTTTTAGGTCTTGTTCTTTTGGGTTATAATTTCAGAATTGAAAAATGGTAGAAAAATTTAAGTGTTAAAAAGTTGCTCAATTAAATCATCATCCAAGTAAATATGTAAGGAAACTTTAATTTTAGATAAAAATAATTCATCATTGTCCATGTTTGAAGTGATATGTTATAAATTTAGAAATATAATGTTATTTTATATTAATCATATATAAATATCTTTTTAAGTCGTTGAAGAAAACTAAATGGGGTTGGAACTTGGAAGAAATTGGTAGGAGCTAGAAGTTAATTTTTTCAATTCAAAAGAAAATGGTCTTAGCCTTCAAATTCAAGACTATAATTTCTAAATTTCATATGGTGAATCTGTTGGTTTCTACGCTTTAAATTGGTAATCATATTCTAATTTTAGAATCGACTTAAAATTAAAGCAAAAAAAAATTGATGTGTAACTATGACCTCACATTGAAGTTCTTGGAGACGTTGGATTAGATATTTCTTAAGATTTTATTGTAGCTATGACAACTTTCAAGATCTCTCAATGCATATATCAACAGTTTTTGAGTTCTATTGATTTTGATCACATTTCGTGTTATTGAAAAAGTGTTCATATATTTTGCTAGTACTCGAGTTCGTGGAATTGTTAAATGCTCCCTCACAATATGTTAAGGCACAAAGTATTATTTTCTTGGGTGATTGTGTAAATTAATTGAATGGCACAAAAAGAATGAATTACTAACAAGTTCATTGTGTTCAATTAGACCTTGTTGCGACCAAATAAGTTAGAACTCGATTAATTTGTGTATTCCTCTTTCACGTAAAGTCTAAGAGCATGGCCAACAGAGAAACTATAGTCCAACAAAATATATATATATATGTTACATCTATTAATTCTAACATTATCTTTAAATGACATTCATGATACTCGTGAGCTGACCCGTTCCTTATACTTTGATTCCTAAACGAGTCTCCCACACAATCCACACATATACTTTTAAATTCTACTTTCAACTTGTATGGGTAGCTGAGTTGGTTCAAAGAGAGGATTTCAAATACAAATAGCTTAGGATCAAATCTTAACAGCAGTAGTTTGAAAGTTTTATTCTTTGTAATAGCTTCTTGTGCGCACCGGGCACATGATTTAAACCTTCAAAATCCTATCGGGGTTGGGGTGGGGAGCGCCCAGGATGGGCGTTCCACTTTTTAAATTCCACATTCACTTTTACTCTTGTCTTAAAATACTTTCACTTTTTATTGCTCTCTTTATCCCAAAATGAATTTCCCTTTAGATCAACGTGCAAATTTATGTAGCTTTTAAAATGATTTTATTTACAAATTGGTATTATTATAAATTAAACTCTTTTGTGAAACAAACGGAGTACGTGTTGTATTTATTGTACATATTTAGCAAGTCAGACTAAAACTTGTAAGTTTTCATATGGGTCGAGCTCAAACTTCAAACGGTTGGCCCGTAGTGCAGACCAATGTTCTGAAAACCGGACCGGACGTTGACTCGGGTGAGGCATTGGGTCAAGGGTTGATCGGTCGAACCGGGGGTCAACGACTCGGTCAAACAAAAACAATGTTTATAATAATAATATTTTATATTATATATTAGATAAAAAATTTAATTTGTTTTTTATTTTTCCATCTAGTTTTTAGTATCACTCTGCATATGCTATTTCACACCTTTTATTTTGTATCCGATTATTTTTATTATTATTAAAAATTGATAATGAATTTCTAATAAATATTTAAATAATTGGGCGATACACATATTCTCAAAAAGTAAAGACTAGATAGTACAGTGTATTGTTTTATACAATTGACATTTTAAACATTATATTTAGTTGTATAAAATGATTGGAAAAAAATTAGGATATTAAATTATAAACACTAAATATTACTTGAGTTTTAAAAATAACAATAATTTTCAAGTATTAAATTTACAGTGTATATTTTATTTTGAACAAAATTAAATAATTCTTAATTTTTTGAAACTATTTAAAAAATGCATAAAGTGAATAAAATATAAATGCATACTTGCAAAAAAAACATACTTGTATTTTTTTTTAGAACAAAACGTACTTGTTTTAGTTTGTTTTGTATATCACATATGTAAACTGTAAAGTAGTATATATGTAATATTGCTGCCAACATTATGCCACATGGGAGGCTCCTACTTTGAAGGTCCTTGGTCTTGGGTTCGAAACCACCCATCCCCTTACTTTTTAAAATTAAAAAGTAGATTTTGGTCCAAACCCGTGAACCGGTCGATCGACCCGGGTCACCCGGTTCTCCGGGTCTGACGGATTTGGACGGGTCAATTGAAAATTGGGTTTATCAATTGGATCGGACCGGATTAGTGACTGGGTCACGGTCCAATCGGTTGGACCGGCTGGTCTGGTCCGGTTTCCTAAACACTGGTGCAGACCTAGCTTGAACCTAAATTTTTTTATAATAGAGCTTCTTGACCAGAATTAAAATCCAGCTTGACTAGTAATTTGATCAGGTCTATATTTAGCATTATTAGCATTAGTACATTTCAGCATATGCTCAAATATATTTTTCAACCTATTGAGGAATAAAGAGTTGAAATTATCTTTGCTAGAAACTTGTGATGATCTTCTATTTGATAGAACTGTAATGATGTAACTATATCACACATTTAAAATGTGTTTACACTTAAAATACATAGATGTCAATTTTTTCAACTTTTATTACTTTAGTTGTGTTATACATTTGTACTCTCCCTCATACACAATTTCAAAAAAATAAGATAAAATATGAATACATGTGCATCATATATATATATATATATATATATATATATATATATATATATATATATATAAAATCAAATATGTTATGAAAAGAATAACAAAAAAAATAATAAAAGGTACAAGTAAATAAAAACAGTGAGATGAAATAAGTAACTAGGTAACATTTTGTGTCAATATCTAATACAGAATATCATTTTTAATCAATTTTAACCAAAAAAATTAAAATTAGACAAATTAAAATTTTAATCAATTTTCAATACACATAATATGAATTATAGATTTATAGGGAATATACCCAACCAAAGATTGGAAATTCCCATTTTGCCTTCTTCGTTCTCCTCCTACAAGACAATCCAAGGCAGCGCTCCGGACCTCTGGATTCCACAACTGCACGCCTTCCCCTAACTCAACTACCTGTTTGGCGTGATTGACGGAGAGAGACGGCTAAACTGTACGAGCGAACTCTATACAGCCGCTGCTCCGGCGGACGTCCGATCGTCTTATCCGTATCGGTTTGCCTGCTACTCTCTTTCTTCTTGCATTTTGGTTCGTGAGTCTTTCTTCTATCGTTCAATATCGTTAATCCGTTAGGGCTGGTAGTTGTATTGATGGATGCGTAGAGTATTGCATTTCAAGGATTTGATATAGCACGAGTTGATGGGATCCAAGAAGCGCAACTTCCCTGTTCGCTCTAAACCCTCAGATTCTCCGGCTGCTTCTGTGGCGGTCTCAGATGAACGAGCGGCGCCCTATGTCTCGCTCGAATCGGTGACCGCCTTTGATTTTGAGGGCATTGATTCGGCTTCTTATGCCAATATTAAGCTTGAATGCGAGAAGGCACTGAACTCCCTGCGCATAGGGAGCCATACCAAAGCCCTAAGGGCGATGAAGGACTTGTGTGTGAAGTACGATAAATCGCCCTATGGAGCTTTGGTTCACCGTGTCCACGGCACTGTTTGCACAAAAGTGGCGTCTCTAATTGACGACCCCAGTGGGAAAAATAGGCATATGAAGAATGCCATTGAGTCTGCCAAGAAAGCAACAGTGATGTCCCCTAATTCAATTGAGTTTGCACATTTCTATGCCAATTTGTTGTATGAAATGGCTAATGATGGTAAGGAGTATGAGGAAGTTGTTCAAGAGTGTGAGAGGGCACTGGCAATAGAAAGCCCTGTCGATCCAGGAAAGGAAAGCTTACAGGAGAGTCAATTGAAGCTATCCACTCCTGAGGCTCGAATTCTACAGGTGCAGAATGACATTAAGAATCTGATTCAGAAATCTAATATTGCTTCCATTTCTACTTGGATGAAACACCTGGGCAACGGGGATGAGAAGTTCAGGTTGATACCAATAAGGAGGGTGCCTGAGGACCCTATGGAGTTGAGTTTGGTACAAGCAAGAAGGCCTAATGAGATTAAGAAGGCAACCAAGACACCTGAGGATAGAAGGAAAGAGATTGAAGTTCGAGTTGCTGCAGCAAGGCTATTGATGCAGAAGTCAGAATCAGCCCAACCACCAAATGATGAAGATAAGAGCTTGGATCCCTCTGCAGTGCCAGGGCAGAAGGGGAGTGATAGAAGGAAGAGTGGGACTGCAAGGAAGAATGCATCCTCCACGGATAGAAAGGGATGGGTGCAGTCTTATTGGAATTCTATGAGTATGGATATGAAGAAAGAGTTGCTTAGAATTAAAATTTTGGATCTCAAAATTCACTTTGGTTCGTTAAAGGATGGATTTGCAAGTCAAGTGTTGTCTGAAGCTTTACAGTTCTCTGAAGCTAATAAAACATG